CGGCTCGCATAACAGTGAGGGCAATGACCAGGCTAGCCATTGCGACCACAGATAAAACCAATGTCTTTCTCCATTTTAGCCATCTCAATCGTGCCCTCTGAGCCTCCTGGGATGTCTTTTGTAACATAATAATATTAACTACTTAAAAAATCCTATCCAGAATAATTTCTAACTAGTCAAGAGAATAAAACGCTTTAGCCTGAGTCTATCAACATGGACAGAATTATTAACATTAACAATCATAACGTAAACAAGAATAATTGAAGAAGCGTAAAATGCTACTGAACCTGCCACGCAATTCGATCAATGTTGAGTGTAAGAAGAAGAGTCCTAGCCCCCAAACGTGCAGAGGCAAGAGCGGCTTCGCACCCAGCGTGCCCACCTCCAACGACAATCACATCATATTTCTCATCCACCGGCCCCAATTCACAACCCACCTCTGCAAAATGCAAATAATTTCAGTTTCCAACACACTCCAGAGCCAAACAGATCTGAAAAAAAGAAATTCGCGTACCTCGGGTGGTGGACCTGGCGGAGAAGCGCCGGGAGAAAGAGGAGGAGAAGGATATTTGGCGGCGGAACTTGCGGCGGAAATTGACGCGGCGAGGGTTGGGAAGAGCGGGAGTAAGAAAGAGCGTTGTGCATAGGTTTCGGCCAAGGCGACAGAGATGGAGAGTTAACGGCGCCGTTGCCATCGTGAGTGGTTGGTGGCGGTGAAGGGTTTCTTAGTTTTTCACTGCCATTTGATTTTCATCCAGTGCTACCTCATCCACACACACTGTTTGCACCTTCCTTCTTCTTCTTCTTCTTCTCTCTTGGGTTCTAGTTTAACACCATTACAATTTATGTTATACAAGGATAACGTATGAAAGCTTGTAACATAATATTTATTCTTCTTTTCAAGTATAATTTTTGTATATAAATGCTACACTGTAATTTTGATTATTCAATCTAAAATAATGTAAAAATGACATATATATTAATTGAATATCATAACTTTATTTTTAAAGTTACGGATAGATTAATTAAAATTGTGTTAGTATTTTTAAATAACAAAATATTAACAATTCAAATTAAATTAATATTTAAAAAAACTTCATCGAAATTAAATATAATAAAATTTTCTCTCTTAAATACAAGGTTCATTTTATCGAACCGATTATATAGAATTAAATGTAGTATTTTATTATTTTTAATAATATATAAATTTTACATATTTTTTGAAATTTAATTAAAATGTGACCTTTTTAAAAGTATTTAAATTTTAAATAATGTGAAATTGATGGGTATTTTTTTTAATAAGATGTATGACTGCAATGTGAATAGATTTGTGTTTTGCTTCAATAATTTGAAAAATACACGATTTTTTTTCTTTCGAAAACTTCATTAGAATCCAAAATTTGTTTTGTCATTTTCATGTCTTTTGAGAAAAAAAAAAAAAAAAACTTAATTTCAACAAGTCCTTCAAAGCATAGTGATAAAAACTTAAATAGAAATATTTTAGGATAGAGTTTGTCTCTGAACATATAAATCAGTGTATTTTAGTTTATGGATAGTAATACGAAACAAAATTGTGAAAGAAAAAAATTAACAAGAACAAAGGTTGTATTATCGTAAACTTTCAACCAACGCCGGATTTTAATTATTACTTATCAATTTAATAATATATATTATTAATAATAAATAATATAAAAAATACAAATATATTAAAAAATTAAATAACAAATATATAAATAATATATTTAATAATCTATAAAGATCAAAATCATAAGATTCATTATCTTCTTATTAAAAAAAAACGTTTTCAAACTTTTGAACTAAATTTATCTTTAAGGTTATACTAAATTGGTACTCACATTTCCTTTAAATTTAAAGTAGATACTTCTATGTTTTATAGTTACCTTCTATAGTTTTTAAATAGACATTTATCTTTATTATATTTTAAATAAAATGTACTCAACTATCTTATATTTTTAATAAAGTGGCAATTACTCTTTTTATTTGATTTATAATAATATACTTTTATTTTATCTTAATATAATTTATAATATTATTAATATTATATCTAATATTGTAAAAAAAATATGTTGAAAGTAAATTATGAAATAGATTGTGTATATCAAATAACAATGTTTTGGATTACATATTTTTATAAATATATACTGTATATAATAGTATACCGTACAAACATAACAACTTAACATATTAATAATACTGTATAATAATAATATTACTATTATTATTATTATTTATATTATAATGTATTATTTTCTACCGTTTTTAGAGTGAATTTAAAAATTCTAGAAAAAATTGTATATGCCAACAGTGAAACACATTTTACAATGTTATTTCATTTCGAATTAACACGTACAAATTGTTGATTTTTACAATAATTAATTTAAAAATTTATTTTAACAAAAGTGATTTTAATTCGTTAGTATTGAACTTAAAAAATAGTAATAATACAGACACAAACAACAATAAAATCATTAAAAAAAAAAATATTCGACAAGATTCGTAGTCTTTGCGTCACCCATGTTCGTCAACGAACGTTGTTGTAACAGCGTGACACCATAAACTCACGTCAGATTCGAATAAATTATATATAAAAAATTTTTTATTGTGGTCTCAATATTTAAAAATTCTAAATAAATATTTTTGTTGTTTTAAAAACATTTCATTATCTATTTAAAATCCGTATAATGGCTGTATTGATTTATAAGTGTTATTATACTGTCAAATTTAAAATGCACTGCTAATTTAGGTTACAAGAAGTTAATTTTAGGGTATAAATTATATTTATATGTTGTGATAATTGTATATGATTTAAAAGAAAAATTAAAACTTACAAATTTAAAATGTTATGGACAAGTGCACGTGAGCGTCGTTATCAAAGTGTTTTTATTTTCTTTTCTAATTTTATTTTAATCACTTTGTTATAAATATACTTTTGTTTGAACCGGAACACTCAACTGGTAACTTTGCCTCAGAAACCAGTCAAACATTGTTTTTTATTTAGAGGAAAATAAAACTGGTCAAACATGAATCACAAAATCATCAGATTAAGACTACTAAGATTAGAAACATTTTTTTTAATAATTGGTTTTTTAAGAGATTTATAGTGATTAATGAATTATATTTGTTATTATTAATCTTGATTATTTGTTAGATATATTTTTTCATATTTTATTTATGATTAATAATTTTTTTCATATTAATAAAATATTTAAAGTCGAAATGGACATAATCATGCGCCTTTGTTTTGATTAGTTTAGTTTGTAATGAAATATTTGTCTTTTGAGGTTTTTGATAGGGTAAATTGGGTAAAAAAAATTATCTATATAACGGTGAATTGAGAAACCAGATTCAATTCAGCCGGAGAAAGAAAGTAGTAGTAGCAGCAGTGGAGGAGGCATGAGTGAAAAAAACGAAGGTGGAAACGGGTCGGGTCGGGTCCCTCCAGTGAAGAGACCGCAGCCCGTGGATTCATTCAGGAACGTTCCGGCGAACCGAGCAGAAACCAGAAATAACATCTTGAAGAGTATCTTCAAGTCCAATTCTTCTTCATCCTCCACCAAATGAACCTTCTTCTGTTCTCTGGATCTCTCTATTCCTACGTTTAACTGTTACGCTTCAATTTCCACTGCTCATGTAAAATATATTATCTCCGTCTATTGTAAAATAAGCGTCCTTTTTTTTTTCTTTTACTAATTCTGTTGTTTTAATCATAATATGTTGTGTTGTGCGTCTCAGGTTTGTGTGTCTTTCTGGGTTTTTTGAACAGGTATCAGATCTGTGAGTATTTCTGGTTTTGTGATAAACTAAGAATCTTTAAAGAAATTATTCTTTTTTCCTAATTATATAATATATATCAAACCATATTCTGGTACGATATTTGTCCAAACATAAATTATAATAAACTATAGTATCCCAGAATTTGCTGACCATAATAGTCCTAACAGATCATGTGTTTGGTTGATCATAATGGTCATAATTTACAGACTCGTACTTTTTAGCAAGTATCTCACATCTGTCTTAACATTTCAAAGAAAAGTAGTTTAATAGTATATTTGGATAATTTTTTCCGTAAATACGTTTAAGACAAAAAAAAAATGAAATAATTTTTTTCATAATTAAAATCAATTTCTATAAAAAAAATTCTAGAAACGTTAATGAAGAAATTTGTGTAAATATATCCTAACTCAATATCTATAGATTTAATCCAGTTGAAAATATGCAGACAGTGCAATCGTTAATCTCATAGGGCGAGGTTAAGAACTTGTTTCTCTTTCACGAAATCTGTCAATTAGATACACGTGTCTATCGTTTATATGTTTTTTCCGTTCAATATGGAATCAGATTATCTTTCTCCCAGAACCGTTTCTTGCACTTTCTGCCCATGTTACTTAAATACTTCGAGGAGTATTTTTTTTTTTTCTTAGAAGAAAAATCACAATCCAATCATGATAATATTCTTTTGTTTCGGAGTGAGCCATATGTAAACTTCAAACATAACAAGATTCAAGCACAAATTATCTCAAATACAGACATTTTGTATTTATGTGTTCACACATGCAATCGATTAAATTTAATGTAAACTGAAAATAGGAAAAAATTAGTTCAACTTATATAACCAATTAAAAAATGTGTTGAAACGAAAAGATGACGTATAAAAAGTTAAAAGCAATTAATTGAGAGAAATTTGATAGGGGGTTGAAAATATTCCAAATAAAGAAGAGTACACATATTTGAAAATAATGAATACCATAAGAAATGTCCCCACTTTAAGACGGAGGTCTCAAATTTGTTATACGGGTAGATATTCTAACACCTTCAAATTCAATGACCATGATATTTTGTTTGAACACTAACACAAATACACTGTACATACCAACGATTCTGTACATCTTAATTATGGAGAAGGTGGTCATTACATTCCTCATAAAATATTTTTATAAGGAAATATAAAAGCATGAGTGAGATGTTAAGAAATGTCCAATTCAAGTGTATAGTCTCAGGCGAGTTGTAATTGGCTGCCGGCACATAGGGCATGCAGATAATGTCACTCCACAGTCCTTGCAAGTCTGTATCAAAAACAAAATGCAAATAAATAAATTAGACACATTTATACATGGACTGAAAATAGATTGTTTCTTCCAGCTATTTTGTTAGTTTGTCATGGACTGTGTACTGAGAGTGAAAAATAATTTTCTTCAACTATTTGATCGTAAATTACCGTGGATAATAAATTTATTGACTTTTATAATAACTCTCTCAAGACTGGAAGGTCGTAGCAATGCTGATTTTTTATTAGTTGACAATATAAAACCTACCATGAATAGCTATTAAACTCTAATGACATAAAGGTCATAAAAGCTATTTTTTTATCGATAAGATGCCATAAGGTCATGATAGGATAAGAATAACATAAATTGTAAGCCATGAAGAAGACCGGTTACAACATGTTATGGTGATGGTTGTAGTAGATAACGATGATATTAATGAAATTATAATATAATACCATTATATAGAAATGGTGACAATGAGGAAATGATAATAATAGTGATAATTATAACATTAACAAAGAGATGATGATGATGGTGGTGAGAGTGGTAGAAACAATGATAAAAATGATGGTAATTATTATAACAATGATGGTAACAGTAATTGTTGTAAATGTTGACAAAAATACAAACAAAACTTTATTTTTAAGGTGTGTATAATCATTGTTCTTACGGACTTATCCACAGTGTATTGTGCAAGTCTCCCAGATATAATAGAAATTTCTCGGAATTTCCAAGGACTTCAGAAACTAGCAACAACTCTTAAAAAAGTAAATAAAAAGGAGAGAAGAGAGCATGAGTGAAGTGAAGTGTCTATCCTCGAAGGAGTGTAAAGTGATTTATTTTATAGGTGTAGTATAGGCAACAAACTTATCTCCGCATAACAAATCTTGCAAAGGAAGTGCACACATTCAAGGTTTGTGCAAGTCATGGGTGGTTGTGGTTTGAAAACGTGGAAGAGTGGAGCACGTTCCAGGTTTTACAATACACCTATTCTACAACAGTAATAACGATTACGAAATAAGTGATAACACTAATGATGGTGATGACGATGTATTTATCGTTGGTATGATAATGATGACATGGTAATAGTGATGAAAAAAAATGATAATGATGGTAATAATTATTAAAGTAGAAGCAACAGTTTAAAAAAAAATGGTGAGTCATGAATGTTGGTTTAACCACCTTAGTGTGATGCTGGTGCTAACGGTGGTAGTTGTTCCAACAGAGAAGATGATAGTGGAGACTATGTATATGGGATGGTAATGACAACATCAAAGGTGGTGATGATGACAGCATCAAAGGTGGTGACAACAACATGAAAGGAAGTGGTGATGTTGACAATAATGTAAGTAGTGGTGAGAGTGGTGGTGATGACAACAGTGGTGATGATGACGATGGTGATTGCAATAGAGGGGACTTGGTGTGATAAAAGGAGGAAGGTTTATCCTATTTTGTTACTTTTTAACTTAGATCCTTCATCTCATAAATATGATAGGACTGACAAGAGGATAAGGAAACCATATCTTGTAGGGTCACAAAACAATTGAATACAACATTATAGTATAGTTTCTATCGAATCTTATCCTATTGTGTCTTGACTACCAAACAAGTCCTAAATTTTTAGATGTTGATGTGTTTTCCTGAAAAATCAAGTGTCAATTTTCAATCGTTGCATTATTGACTTAGAGCAAGGAAAGTATCTTTTTCATTATTCCTTCAAACTTTCACCACCAGCAAAAAAGTAAAAGTTCCTCAAACATGAAAATTTGTAACCTGAAATTCCTTTTAACATAAGCATTAAACATGATTAAACTTGAACCTAAACATCAATATTGACATTTGTATAAAGTAAAAGATTAATGATCATCATTCATATAAATAGTTAAAACCCCTATAGCAGATAAACATAAGCATTGAGTAAGTTCATGACAGAAACTTACTGTATGACCACATCCAAAAGCCATGTCCTTCGGATTGGTTAAGCAAATAGGGCATGCCTAAAGCAAGAAACACATTTATCTTGTGAGCATAATTTGATCTTAAAATGAATCTAATGCAGGAGAAAGACACCTCCATGTGGGTACAAGAAACATACTGATTCTACCGCAGCTGGTGGAGCTGATGGGTCAAGTGATTCAAATTTTGGAACTGCTAGAACTGCATTGTCACGATCTATTACTTCCTTAGGCGGAGGAAAAGGCCTTTTACGTTGATAACTTATTGACTTTTCACTGCACCAAAATAATTTAAGATTTGTATCTTTAAATATAATTTAGAATTATCAGACCTGTATTTCATTACTTACTTGGCGACTTGTAGGTTTTGGGTTATCCGGTACTGAATTGGAATTTCCATAAGGGCAGCAAGTGCAAATGCTGCTTCCTTCTTTGATGCATCTTTGTTCTCAGACATGATCTTTGTGAAATTCACAAACTGAAGGGAAAGAAGGAACACAAAGTAGCTAACACATCCATACTACAATAATAATAATAATAATAATAATAATAATAATAATAATAATAATAATAATACATAAATAAAAAAATAACAATGTAATAGTATTAATAATAATAAAAAAAGTTCAATATCATAAATAATTCAGAATTAAAGGTGGCATTCTAAAATATGGAACACTGAAGATTTTTCCAGCTTGTTTATGAAGCAGTCATTTTTCAAACTACTTACCTCCAATTCACATACTACTACTTTGTTTAATTCTCACATAACAAATTCTTCAGTGAATTAACGTATCCTATGTAAAAAGAGTATTATTGTTTTTATTTTCTGTCAGTACATGGTTAGTGTTGTTGGGCAGGGCGGCATTTATTAGTTGTATAATAATTTGTATTGCACCTAGATTATTGGCAGAGAAAGGGGTATAAGATCAGTGTTATATTTAGAATCTAATTATAAGTATATTTCTTTTCCCTGCAGAGTCTAATCTGTGAAAGTTAAACAATACTAAACACCAAAATCATGCAAAATAAACACATACTTGATCATACATCAGTCATGTACCTGAAAGTTGTCAAATAAGCGCTGAGTAATGCTATCATCAAAGTGCTGCATTTCATCCCATGGTCCATCTCCAACTCCAACCAAAATAATTGAGAGGGGATAGTGACTGATGAATGATGACCAGAATAGCTCTATATTAAAGACAGATACCAAAACAGAACAAATGACTACAAAAGAAAATGTTTTACCTTGCAGCAATGATAGAATTAATAGTTGCTTGTTCTTGTGGACTAAACTTTCCATGTGGCGTACCTGAATTTCTAGTAACCTATAAAAAAAATATATATTTCAGAAACAAAAGAAAATTCATGAAGGATTCTAAATCATGTCATGAAAAGATAATAATAAAATAACATAAATGGGTAAAACCTGTCCATCAGCAATAATGACAAGAACATGGTATTGACCATTGCTTCTTTCCACGATATCAACAGCCGCGTCGATTACAGGGGCAAATGATGTTGGACCTATGGATAAGGAGAAAACTATCATAATTATATCTTCGAATAATTGTTTGGATACCCAAGTCATCTCTCTTATCAGGTTATTTGTCCTATTGTCCACATCATAATTGGACTAAACGAATATTTGATTAAAGAAAAATGGGATATAATGCAGGATTATCATAAAAATGATATAAAACTAAAAAGAATAAGAAAGGAAATCAAAGTAGATACATCAACTTAAAAGGAAAATTTAGTACACATTTATGTATAACTTATTTCAGAGAAGTAATCACTTTTTTTTTCAAAAACTCGTTCAGGAAGCTGCAAAAAAGAGCTTTCATAACCCTAAAGTGAGACAACTCTTTCTTCTATTCATCATTCCTTCCACAAATTGTCTATCCTTTACTTTCCTTTTCCTTGCATGTACTAATTTTAGGCAGGAAAACCTAGTGCGGCATAATCATATAGGCTACCAAACTCATGCATTTAGTACCTGGCTAAAATCTTATTTGTAGGACAAAAAGAATTCTGATTCTCGTATGTCTCTTCTAACACGTAAACTAACTCTTCAAGAGTTATTATTGGGGAGTTCAAACTGCATACAAAGCGCAATTCTTTCACAAGTTTTGCAGGTCATTGGATTAGGACATCAATTCTTTGCCTCAATTATCATGTCTTCTACAAGTATTTATCCATGTTACAGTTTCGTTTTAAAATTATATAAATTTTCTTCAATTGAGTTTTGCCATCATCATCAATGAAGTTTTGTAGCCAATCAGTATAGCACGGTTATTCTCCAAGATACTAAAATATATTTGATATATAAAACAATTGAAAAAATCTAATCAGCAAGGACGATTATATTAAACCTGCCAATTTTAAGTGTGGCACAATCTCTCGGTAGCGCGAAAGTACTTCCTCAAAACCATGGCAATAGCGATTATCAGGATAAAAGCTGAATACATTCTGGTCATGTGTAGATGCTACAGAAGTATATCAATGAAATCAATAGAAGAGAAAACAAATAGATTTTCTTTGAAAAGTAAATCAGAAACAGCTTCTCACCATCACCAAATCCAAAACATGGTATCAGATTGTCTTCATCAAACGAAGAGAGAGTATGGCCAATTATAGAGATCGCTTGCTCATATGGATTAGGAGTGTTTCCAATATAATGAAGGCTTTTGTGGTTGAAAGAATGCTTGCCTACGAATACCAAGGTGTGACTTTTCTGCATTCTCCATAGTTATACGTATGTATATCATTAATTTTATGTTCAACAGAAATAACCTGTCCACTCGTTGCTTTTAGTGAAGTCAATACCAATTATAAGATTTGAAGATTCCAAACCAGCTTCTCTTAAAGCAGAAACAACCTGAAATATAACATGCAAAAATTAAGTTTTTTAAGAAATCCTCACAAAAAAGTGAATCCAGTTCTGTAATGGGAGGTAAATTGTTTCTGCAACGAGAAATGTTGGCCTAAACATTTTCCAAAACTATTAAATTCCATTTGATTTCATTTTGTGGTGTTCTTAAACATCCTCCTTTAATGGTTTTCAGTCTTTCTAGCTCAACCACTGAGTTAATGACTAATTAGTTCATTAGTTTTTTCTTATAAAATTGACCTAAAAGCAATATGTTTAGCTTTTATAAGTGTGCCTGCAGGCCATGCCAACTTTTTCAAATGAATCCACAATTCTTCATAGTTCATATTTCTTCTGAAATTAAAGAAGGTATCAATGAATTTCTATTTCTAGCTTGTAAACATGTTCAACGACTATTACAAGTGCTGTTTTCAAATTATATAATCAAAGAAACTAAAATTTTCCTGCACACTTGATTGAGGATTCATCCTCTATTGTACCAGAAAGAAGTTTTCCTTGGAATGCTAAGAGTAATCATTACTATTTCCCCTAAATCAATGAGCAAAATTAGCAGCAAAAACCTGATCCAGTGAACTGAAACTGTCAGCTATATATGCGGGTTGCTTCTTATGTTGATGTCTGGTATTCACCGAACTACCAGCATATGAAGAGGATTGATCCGGTTGATAAAACTGATGGCTAGTATTCACTGAACTTCCGTCATAAGCAGGGGGATGATGATATTGATGGCTAGCATTTGCTGAACTTCCATCATAGGAAGGGGGTTGATGATATTGATGGCTAGTATTTACTGAACTTCCATCATGGGAAGGGGGTTGCCCAAAAAAATCAGTATGAGAATCATGAGTTGACTCTCCATTTCCCATAATTAAAGTCCTTCTTCACCTATATCAAAATTAAAAGTGAATAGACAACATGTAGAGTTAGAGATAAAAAAATAGGACTTGAAACAAATTCAAATGAGAAACATGACAAAAGAAGTGATAAAAATTCACAGTAAATTGTAAAATTCTATCTCTAGACTCGCATATAAGCAAAATTATCTAATTTCACAAGGATTAAGAATGTAAGTTAAGATCATATAATATTTTTCATTTCATAAAATAAAAAAGTGCGTTAACTAAATTACCCCCAGTCATTTTTATTCGGTTAAACATGACTGTTATTACCTTTTGCTCATGTTTCAATCCAAAGGAAGTATTACCTTCAAGGGAAAATAAGATGAAACAAATATCAGGATAAAACCACCATGGTTTTAGCATGCTTAGGCATCATTCGCAGTAACTTATATAAAGTGTAAACATATTTCCCATAATAACATTTCATTTTCTCCAGCTAGTTTTCTAAAACGATAAACCGGACGATTAGTTTAGCAATACATGTTTCTGAAACACCATGCGACACATCCATAACATGCAACCATCGTTTCTGAAACGAAATTGGAAAGTATTTTTAGCAAACAAAATTCTGCTAAAGCTAGGTTCCACTAGCTACAGAACAAAGACGAAAAGCATAAAAAACATAAAAACTTGAGAGTATTCCGTCAATAGCCATGACACATGCTCTGCCAGACATTACTTGCCATAAACTAAACGACCTTTGGTGGCTAGCTAACATTAGATTTCATCACCGTAAGAAATAAATTTCAATTTATTCAAAAACGGTAACAGGATTGAGCCTTCTGCAATTGCATCACAAATTCAAAACAGTAACGTCAAACATAATTTGCTGGAATCAAGAATCATATCAGCATTAGAGAGAGAGAGCTGAGTGACCTGAGAGAAGAGATTCAAAACGAATCTGAGTTCGAAGTGAACGAAGAGCTTCAACCGCTGCTTTTTCTAGATGATATTATTTTGACCGCGTTGACCATCTTCTCCTACACGATATTGTTACCTAATTTTATAAAATACGAAAACAAGATTAAAAAATACAAATATAATATCAATTAAAAGTTTTCTGAATATCCTAAAATATTTTTAAATACTATTTATTAATTTCTTATAGTTTATTTAGGTACACGTATTCGTTATCCATTTTATGCGTGCACTCGAACTTTTCCCCTTCATTTATCAAAATTGAAATCCGTTTTGCACAGTCGTTTGAAAACGATGGACTCTGGCAAAAGATGCATGATTCACGTGGATCATTGAAAACTTTTATGACTTTTTTTTCTATTATTATTTGTTTACTTTTTCTTTTAAATCTACGGTTCACAAAAAAAGGAAGAATAAATTATCCTATTATAAACATTAATGGTTAATGACATAATCCTCATAAATTACTGAACAATATAAATGTTAAGATGAATAAATTATGTGGATATATGAAAGCTTTATTAATTTATTTTTAATTTTTTCGACTGATTTTGATAAATTTGTTTTGGATACTTTATGAGTGGTGAAAGTCTCTCTATGTATAGATAATTTCAGTGTTTTTTCTTTCACCAATATCCATTTTTATGTTATAAATTTAAGTTTTTATTTTTAAATGAAATAGCTTTTATACCTACTTTTTATTAAATTACGATTTTCCATCAATTAATTAATTTACTGAAATGACTATCTTTTATTTCCCTTTATCGATAATTAATGATTTAATTTGTTCAGTTAATATTTTTTTCAAAATGTTATAATTTGAAATCAATTTACTCTTTGAAGCTTTTAGTGATCATGTACATTAATCACATTGTGTATATATTTTTCTCTATACATATAACAAAGAAATTTGGATATTTAATTTCCGTAATCAAACTGTATCCATTATTAATATTGTGTAAACAAAATTTATAAACTACAAGAAAATCGAAATTATGTATTAAATTTTTTATTTATTTATTATAAAATATGTTTTTAGAGATACCCTCCCCTCTTTTATATTTTTAGAAGTTTGAATTATAATTTCGATGGAATGAATTATTACTCGACAGGATTCGAACTCAAGTACCTTACAAGTGAGAGGTTGATACTCCAACTACTAAGTTACCAAAGTTTGATCCATTTTTATATTTATATATTTATATTATTTAATTTAATAAATTATTATAAATTAATATAATTATGATTAAATTAAATTATTAAATAAAAAAATATTAATTTTTTAATTAGGTGAATAATTAATTTATTAGAATATATTAAGTAATTATTATACAATTTTACCGACGGATATATCCGTCGGTAATTAATTATTAATTTACCGATAGATTTATCGATCGGAAATATTCGCTCGGTAAATAATTGTTAATTTATCGACAGATTTACCGACGATATATTCGTCGGTAATTATTTATTAATTTACTTGACGGATAAGACCATAATTTCCATCGACAATGATTCATTTTTCGACGACTATAAATTCGTCTGAAATATGTAATTTTTTTTAGCATTGAACTCTTCTATATAATAATAATAATAATATAGTACAAAAATTAGTCAAATTATACCTTTTAATATATATTTTTTACAACATAATATAAAGTGATTCATTTGATAAATGCAAATAATAATATTATTAAGCTTTTTTTTTAATATTACGGAAGAAAAATAATAAAAATTTTGATCCTGAGAAAAAAATTGGCTCTAAGACTTATCTCATTTTATAAACAATTAAAATGTTCGAATTTTAATTTTTTGATAAATTCTGTTTTATTTTTTAATTTAAGACATTATTTTAATAAAATATGAAAGAAAATGTTTGATTTTGATTTTAAAAATTTGATTTGAGTTTTCAAATGCAAATAAGATCAGTTATATAGCTGATAGAGGATAATAAAAGAGAGTGGAACGTGAATTTAAGTGAAGGAGAAGTTTAACAAGATAAAAATAGAAAAACAAACTGAGATACATTTGCCAACTATTCTGGTTTTTGGTTTTTAAACACTTGGTTTAAAAATAGTTTTCCACACGACAAGAAATTAACTGTTTGTCAAGTTCAAAAATCATTTTAAAAATGTTTTTTTATTTTATTTCTTAGATAAAAAAGAAGAAGAAGACTTTAACATTTATGAGACTTGCATTTTAGATAAACATGCATGCATGTTAGGAGGAGTTAACACATTATTGAAACCTATAAGTGCTTAAATTGTTGTATAAACATTGAATTGTATCTCCAAAAGTGCTTTTGGTTTACCACACAAACTGTGATATGTTGTATGGAAATAGTTTAGGGCAAGAAGAAACAGAAAAAGAAATCTAAGCTGGGATATTTTATTATGAAAATGGAACTCTAAAGGTTTATATATATATATAATATATGTATATATATATTATACTCTTATACGCAGAATCACGTCTATAAAATTACATATAGAAAACAGAAACCAAACATAAAAGCTTGGTGGATCTTATTCGTACCAGTGCCCGACTGAATCAATCTGGTGATTCTGAATTGAGTTTGGAGAGAAGGGAAGTGAAAACTTCTGATCAGTGGCCACATATGGAGGCTGAGAAATGAGATTTTGTGAGGCATATGCAGCATTGAATTGTTGATTAGTCTCATCTTGGTTATTAACATTATTATTGTTAATGTTATTATTATTGTTATTGTTGTTATTATTAGTATTGTTTTGCTGGTGTTGTTGTAGCCTTTGTTCAGAACGAAGTTGCTTTGGAATGTTAAGTTTTTCTCCTTCAATCTCTTTGTATTTCTGAAGGTAAATTTTCAAGGGTTCGACGTAGTCCTCAAAGCCTAGGGTTGTGATGGCCCATATGACATCGTCTCCATTGATGGTCTTTCTCTTCTCCCTTTGGCATTTGTCGGAGGCTTCTCCGGTGACAAAGCTGATGAACTCGGAGACACACTCTTGGACAGTTTCCTTGGCATCCTTGGAGATTTTTCCATTGGAAGGGATAACTTTTTTCATGATTCTTCCGACATTGGCAATGGGGAGAAACCGGTCTTGTTCTTTGTTGTGGTTAGTGTTGTTGTTGTTATTATGGTTATTGATGATGTTGTTGTTGTTGGTGTGTGTGGTTGGGGTGGTGGTGGTGGTGGTGTTGGAGTTGGAGTTGGTGGTCTTTAAGCAAGGGCTTTCGGGGCTTCCTGAGTTGAATCCATTTGGCAAAGTGCCATGGCTTTCATCTTCCATCACAATTGTTGGAGATAAGGGGAATGAACACTTTGGGATATTTATTAATTAAATATGTTGCATCTTATTGTATAGATAAACTGAAAGAGAGGCACAAAAATAGGCATGTAAGAAGGGTTAGGAGAAGGAAATTTCGAAAAAAAAAAAAAAAAAAAAGGGTGCGGTGGATTTTCACCAATCAAATCCACCGGACTCGTTCTATATCTTAGATTTCAACACTATTATTGACATCTCAACTTCTCTTTCTTTCTTCGTCCTTCCCCATATATATATGTGGGGAAATATAAATAATTGATAAGATTATTTTTTTACAGCATAAAAAATAAACTTTATGTAAATATAAATAATCATTTATCAGTTATATCTCGAGTTTCTCTTTTTTCTTCTTACGATTACACAAATTATTAAAATGGATCGGTCCCTCTATTATATATATATATACCAATCTATGTAAAAAAAATAAAAAATACAAAGTTTCACTTAATCGCCATTTTCCGTAACTATATTTGATGTATCTTTTTATCCTTCACTCGGTTCAACTTATTATCTCTCTAATTATTATAATCATATTAGAATGAATTTTTTTTTTAAGTTTTCTTGAGAATTTATTATAGCTTTATTTTTTAGGATGCAACAGGGTTATTATTTCAAAAATATTTTTTTATATTTAAATTTGTACAGTATTTCAATCATTTATAGGTCAAAATGATTTAGAAATTATAATTATTTATTTTATGAAATAAGAATATTAAATAAATTTAACTAACACTAGCATCATGAATCAGTATAAAATTTATATAAATTTAAAAAGTTATAAATTATTTATTTTTTAAAAAAGTGTAATGACAATGTATTTCAAAAGTATCATAAAACAATAAATATTAATCTAAAAGTAATTTATAATAAATATATAATTGTAATATATTTATTAGGTATTTTGGTTCTTTAAAAAAATGATATTTTGGTCATTGTAATATAAAATTTTACTATTTTAATTATGTATGTCAAATTGTATCTAAAATTATTATATGACACATGAAAATGTCATACTATTATAATATGTGATGTACGTATTTTAATAACGTGATATGTTATATGCTTATAATGACGTATTTTATTTTATATGTCACGTTATATACTTTTCATATATTTTTTTAAGAGATGAGGGATTATCTTTCAAAATTTTGGACAAATAAAAGTTTGTTCATATATGTGTTTTTTTAACGTTAAACTCAATTTTTTTTTTAGTATGACATAATTTAAGTTTGAATAATTAGAGTGATATAGCTCCTTATTAATAACATACTATGTATCTTACAGATAAATTATCTTATTTTGATGCCTCATTTAGTCGTGATCATCCCAAATCTTTTGAATCCTTCTAAATGTTATGCATAAAACATTTTTATGGTCACTCCCACTGAAAAAATAAGTATGTTGGTTTCTCTCACAGTGAAAATCTACCTCAGTAAATCCGTCGAACAACTAATATCGCGAAATTGGTACGAAATCTGAACTTAAATATAAGTAAAATTATTATTTTTTTCAAATAATGACAGTAAATAATAGTATTAATTTAAAATTAACTACTTATACTTATTGGAGATGGTACTTAGCTTTAAAGGTAAAAATAATTTTTAAATAATAATATTAAATAAAGTTGAAGTGGTTGAAATATGATTTAAGTCCAAAAGCATAAGTTATTAGATTCCTAGTAAAAGCACGGTAGAAAAGTAAAAACATAGTGTACGTTGACGCAGAATAATATTCCGTTAGTACATTAAATACGTGTATGTTGACTGGTAGACAGAAAACAGACCAAAAACCGGTACAATCATACCTCCTCATCGTACTAAATCGAAAAGGAATTCCTGTGAATGATAAATATATGGGACACGATAATTTAGTTCAAAGTATACATCAACACAACCGCTTCCCTCATTTTTTTTTAATAAAATATACATAAATAATATTTTAACACCCAAAAATCATACAATTTTCAAAACAACGCTCTTTTAATATTGTAACAATAATTTTAATTTATTATCATTTTTATTAAATTATTTTATAATTATTATATTAATAAAAATGGATTATTTTGAGGATGGTATGTTTGTTAGGTTGTGAAAAAAATATCACTTTTCTAAAATATATATAAGGATTCGAATTGAAATGCTCCTTTTATTTTCAATAGGGAAAAATTATAGGACATAAGTAATTCTAAGCCTTCAGTTCCAATATTTAATATTTGAATCAATAATATATATAGCTACTGACCATGTATTATTCAATGACATAAATGCCACCAAGTATGGTGAATATCTCCCTATAACATATCCAGAATCTACATTTGAAAGAATGGGATGAAATTTTCTTAACTATGGCACCATGTTACAGCAAAAGACAACAAACTGTAGCAGAGATCAAAATTAATTACCAAAGGGAAAACGAAAAAAAGAAAAAAGAAAAGACGAAGACATATGAGTAACTATAATGATACATAAATAATGGGGGAAGTAAAGGTACAAAAAATTGAGCAGCCAAAACCCAAAAATCATCTAAAAATCATGTTGGTATCTGGCCAATAGAATACTCGAGTGTATCAAATTCTGTAGGCCGCCACATGGACTTCTGGACACATAAAAAGCCCGATTTATCTTTAGAGTAAGTCATGCGAACCTCCCACTGCATGGATTTCACCATAGCTTCAAGCTCGTTAATGATGACAGTAGTGTCTCGCACAATAAGCTTCCCCTCAGGCCTAAGAATCCTATCAACCTCAGCCACTACAGCTTTCAAATTGCACCTGCATGACCTTAGAACATTAGCAAAACAAGACAGATATACAGATCATGTATAATCTAAAAATATAAATGTTACTGGTGATGAATGAGAAATGAAATAGTTGTTAGCACCTGTTCTTAATATTTGAAAATATATGATCTGCATGAAGTAGATCATAGGACCTCGGATAGGTGCTAAATGATTCACACCAATCATGATACATACCAAAGAGACCTCGCTCATAAATAATAGGAAGTGTGTCGGGAGCATTTACTGGAATCACATTCATGACCCAAATATTCAAATCCTTCAATGCAGCAGCAAACCTGTAACCCAAAAGACAAGTTGTCAAAAGTGGCAATTATAGCGGGTTAAATTAATTCAGAGGAAAATGGAAAACGACAACTTTCTCTCACCCTCCATAGACTGATCTCATATCCATGACATTCCGCACATTGGACCAGTTAATTCCGATCCCGTTAAGATAAGACTTGGACACTATACGTTTCCAGTGTTGATAATCAACAGTGAAATCCTCAGGGGCGGGCTTTCCATAGACTCCAACATGAGAATTTGTCAGCCAGTAAGGTGAGTTGCTCAATCTTGCTGGCCAATACTCTGGCCATTGTGATCCTCGTTCTGTCGAATTCGCTGGTAATTTGTGCATGCAAGCTTGTAATGGAATGTTCCTGTAGCCAGAGAGATTAGGCAGCAGCCACATATATTACACCTTTTTGGGTGCATAATGTAAAACAATCGAATTAATGCACAGGGGAAGTTTAAAAAGTGTAGTGTGTGACTATGAGTGTCCTATCTTATAAAATTAGTACTACGGGTTTGATGAAAAGCAGGAACTACAGAAATAGAGCATTGTTCATTTGTAGCAGAATCCGATTGTCACAAAAGGACGGTACAAAAAGGTTTGGTTTGTGAATGTGTATGTTTTTCACACATGTCCCTTGTGGAAAAATTGAACATTATTGGTGCTTATACGTATGCGTTTTTTTATTCTTCAGTTTCTACACATAACTTCTCATTTTAGTTTCGACACACTTTTTTAATCTGTTAACCAAGGATTAAAATAGATTGAAAAATGTTGTAGAAAATAAAACAGAGTAAAAAATATATGTGAAGGTACTAAAACAAATTATAAAATGTATGCGTAGGGAGTAAACACATATAGTTTTTAGGTGTAGGGATTAAAACATAAAATTGTGCAAATATAAAAAGTAGAGCAATAATTAAACCTTTAACTAAAAACCTACAGTATTTATATTAAAATGAAAGATGAATATCAACAACTTAGTTAGAAACTCCCCTTTTTTCTGTTTTGATTTTTAATTAAAAAAATTACTAACTCTCGATTAAAAGAGAAATACCATGCTGCATTAGGATCGTCGGAGTCTGGACACATAGGAGGCTGATCAGAAGAACGTTTTTCATAACACTCATTAGAATCTGGCTTCTTGTACACAGCTATACCAACTCCATTAAGTTTATCCTTGCTGATGGACATAAGTTCCCAGCACATTGCTTTTGTTAGTTTCTTCATTTCTGCAAATTAATTCAGGAAACGTCAGAACTAATGCAGCAACATGAAACTAACGCAGCAACAAAATGTTATTATCTACCATTCCATATTTCAACATCTTCATCAAGCTTCTGGTAAATAGGAGTGGCAGACCATACAAAGAAACCACCAGGTCGCAAAACTCTATTCAGCTCCAAAAGAAGTTTGCCACCTACACGTATAAAAACAAGTCCAAAAAAAAAAAAAAGTTGAACTCAGGTGAATTTTATATCAAGTACACTCTATCTATATAAGTTCTCTTAAAATCGCCCAAGGTGGGGCAGTACTAAACCGCTACATAAAATTTCAAGCTTGTATATACAAGAATTCATCTAATCACAATCAAAGTTATGTCATTGATACCTTCTATATGCCAAGGAACTCTACAGCGTGCACAATGGACTGCATCAAATACTCTCCCAGGGAATGGAAGCCTCTTTGTGCCCATCACAGCGGATATTGCAGGAATCCCTCTTTCAAGTGCAAATTGTACTTGAGCTTCGTGTTCATCTTTTGGCGCCAATGACATTGTAAGTACATTTCTTTCAAATAGAAAGCCACCAAAGCTGGCAACACCACATCCAACATCTAAAATCACACGTGTGCGTTTGCCAAAAGCAATATCAGGTACAGACTGCAGCATCAAAGTTGCTTAAATTAAGTAAACAACTCAAAATAAAAAAGAAAACATATCACGTGTTCACACAGAAACATAATTTTTTACTCGTTACCATGTCCAACTTCTCTTATTGCTATAGAAATTTATTTGTAGAAGTTGAAATAATGCTGATATTTTCGAAGGGAGACATAAAAAAATGTAACCTTTGAAGTAGCATTTTTTCCTGCTGTGAAAGAAGTTCAATGTAGAACCTCAAATCCCAAAGTATCATCATCTTGTTTACAGTTCCTATCCATTAGGGTTTCCTGACCCCAAAAGGTTAGACTAGAAAAAAATTACAATCACTTATTTTAATGTCAAGATAATATCAAAACTTTTTTTTGCTCTGGATATATATCATATTAATGCAAAACGTTAGAAAATTTAATCTCATACCAGTCACCTAAGAAATGTCAATGTGCAGGAAGCATTTTGTTTTTAGATTACGTTAATGTATGCCTTTAGGGCATATGTTAAGAAAGTTTCAAATAAAAAGTACAAACATTTTAATATCTTGAAAATCTAATAAATTTTGTGCCCTAAGGTAATATAGCACATTCAATATTGATTTATGGGAACATGCGGCAAAAGGTTGTCCAGATTTATATAAAAAGTCTCAGCGCTGAAGTAAAAGCAACCAACAGTTAGCCCTGAGAAGAATAGAGTATACATTTTACCTGTTGTATGATGTCAATGTAATGAAGTGCACCGTGTTTGAATTGGGTTCCACCACCTGGAAAAGTAAGGTATTCGCCAGTAACTTTCACCCAATTCTGGTGCCCCTTGTATTCAGCAAGCTGAGTATGTGGAACATTAGAATACCATATCTGCAAGGAAACGTTTAATTATTTCATGAAAGAACAATTTTTTAACGTAGTATGGTAACCGATAAGCATTTGTGTTAATGACTACCTTCTCTCTGCTTTTGGGCCATTCAATTGGGCGTTTGTATCCTTTAGGAAGAGGGACAAGGCAGGTAGGAGGTTCTTGAGGACATTGCCTTTCTCTGTGTTCATAGTGTTGGGTGCTTGGAAGACTCCTAATTGCTTTCACGTTGTCGAGGCATGGGATGAAATCAGGGCCAGCAGAGGCATTGCACAGTTTCCAATCGTACCCAGCAGACTGCTTGGAGGATGCTTGAGACTCCTTTTCAATATTTGACTTAGCTGCCTGAGTTGAAAAAGAACCATTTTGTGCGGTACCTTCATTCAGAAGATCTGACGGAGCCGCAGAAGGGTATACCTCATTTGAAACCTGGCTGTTGGCATTGTCACCTGTTTTCTTCTCATCGGAATTTTCGTCAGAGTCTTTGTTACCACTTTGTTCTACCTTCTCTTCCGTCTTATCTGGTGTTTCACTTGCATTATCAGATTTCTTATCATCTGAATCAGAATCAAACTGTCTGTTATCATTTGATTCGGATTTATTTTGATTCTCGTCAGATTCAGATTTTTTGTCACTCTCATTAGAACCAGATTTATTCTCACTCTCGTCAGAATCTGATATCTTCTCGCTCTCATCAGAATCAGTTTTCTTATCGGTCAAATTTGAATCTTGATTTTCTGTTTTTGTATCATCAGAAGGTTTCTCTTCAGACTTTTCCTCCGATTTCTCTTCACTTTTTTCTGACCCGTCAGAGGTTTTACCAGGTGTGACACTACCATCCCCTTTGGTTGCATCATCAGACAGATCACCCCGATTATCTTCAAACTGTTGAGCATTATTATTAGATGGATCAGTTGACTGGTCTTTCACCTCAGTCTGTTCTTTCACGCCAATCTGTTCCTGCACCTCATTCTTATTGTCCTGAGACACGTCTACGTTTTGCACAGGCACTACAGATGACGACGTCATCATCCAAATACCAAACAAGCAAAGAGCAACAAACACAACAATAGTCGCTGTTGAACAGTAACTTGCCGGCGATCGCTTATTATTATTAATATCTAATCTAGTATATTTAGCTTGAGCCATGTTGCTAGAGAGTGCAACTGTTCACAGATAGTTTAGACCTGGACATTAACCAATGAAACACCATCCCAATAATTAGCCATAGATCAGTAGTTTTAACACTTAATTGCCAATATCTATGCAGTTACATGACAGAATGCATGGATGAACCAACAAATGAAAAGAAAAGCAAATAAAGGAAGCTTGCAAAATTGTCAAAAACATAAGGCGTCTAAATTTCTTCACACATGACATTGACAAATTATAACTTATGAGAAGGTAAAAAAAATCGATTCCGTTGACGACTGTGGAAGCCTTGCGCAATTTAAGGGGAAAGTAAATACATAGACAGGCATTGAGATGTATATTTCTCTCTCATAACCCGAGAACACCGTCCAACAAAATAAAACGACCGGATCTAACAAATTCAACAAACGAGAACGAGATGGAAAGTAAACACAACAACAAAAAAACGAAAAAAAAAAAATCAATAAGGAAGATTTCATTACCAAGAATTACGGAACCACGACAGATTTTAAGTATTCAAGACATTCAACGAATTGAAAGCAGAAGCAAAGACGCGTTCAACGCGAAATCAACAACACTCTCGCGCAGATCTACACTGCCGGAAACAAAACTGTTCCGGTAGCATAAACTTCACGCAATGCATGGAAAAGAAAACGGTAAAAGGAAAACGTTGAATTCAAAGAAACGATTCCGGTGAATAAATATATCGGTAGATCTGAATAGCTTGAAATGAAAGAAAGGCCAATTGGACAAACCTATTGTTACTGTTCGGAAAATAGCGAATCTGAGAAGGAAAAGGAAGAGGAAGAAGAAGACGTTATCTCTGTATTGTGTTGCGCATGGCAAAGGTGGAAAGAAAAGAACGCGGAATGAAATAAATTGGAGTGCAATGGGGAAGTGTTGGAGGTACATATAATAATACGAGAGGGTGGGGCAGAGCAGCGTTTGTCGCTTTGGAGGGAAATTGGTCAATTCAGCGGCGTTGGCTAATAGTATTACTTTTTTCTTTTAATATTTATACCACAATTTAAAAAAAATAAAAAATTTAAGAATTTAAGGTTTATATTAAAAATGGAAATCTCAGTGAATGTGATGTTTGTTAAAAAGGCAAAATAAACAAAAAATAGTAGGGCCAAAGAGAGAGTTTGAGAGAGCGACGCGTCCATGAAAGTCGTGAAACCGGTGGGGGTCAACATTCAACGTGTTGGGGGGTTTGCCAAACAAATACCAATGCCGCAGTAATTTCGCGAGGGTATATAGGTCAAATTCCCTATTTTTCAGTCATATTATTACAACATTTTTTCTAAAAAAAATTATATGACAGAGATAATTCACCAATCAATCTCTCACAAGTAAAACGTCTAGAAATAAAAAAAAAAACATCACAAAAGTTTTTTTTTTTGTCTTAAATTACATTTTCACTCTTACCATTAGGGGCAGCAAATATTTTTATATGATAAATATATACATTTAGTCTGTTTATATATTTACCATTTCTGCTTGTTTTATTTATTCAGTCAAACGAATAAAAATATATTATATTTTTATTTCCAACTTTTAAAACAAATCATTGATCTAGTTCTTTATTTTTTATCTATATTTTTTTAATTTTTTTTTCAAAGGGTTGATGTTTATGCTAAGTTACTATGTAGGCATTATCCCATTATATAAGCGGATAAAATTTCTGTACACTCAACTTTATAGTCTTCTGAATCTAGATCCATATCACCAATGTAATGTAATGTTCAATGTTTAATTGCCATCGATGCTACTAATGATGAAAGTTTGTATTATTTTATTATTAATTTTAATGATTTTCCTGTTAAAAATATATTGAGAATAAAAAAATAGAAAATAATAATAATTATTATTATTAATTATTTAAAATTTAACTATATTTATTTAAATATATTCATTTTCTCTAACTTATATTAATGGAATTAGGTCGGTGAATAGCATTAATAATTATGAACATCCCTTGCGGGTCAGCATGTGCTCCCTCTCCAATCTCCACGAACAAATGCAGTATCTGATTATAATAATTATTATTTATTAAAAAAATTGCCCACAAATTTAATGTTTTTTAATATGACTTAATTTTTTTTTAATTGAATATATTTTGTTCCTTAGATCTACAACGTGGCTCCCACCACAGGTGGGGATGTTTGAGACCTTTGAGTCGGTGGGGTATTTTTTTCTTATTCTTTAATTTGATTTATTGGATAAAATTTGTGTAAGGATTTAAATTGAAAAAAAAAATTGCATAAATTGGCATGGTCATCCATTGGGAACAAGACTGAAAAGGTCGCATAATGAAAATGAAGTGCAGTTAATAACAACAGAATGGGTTGGTGACAATCTGTCACAATAGATAACGTTTAGGGATGGCAATTAAACCCGTACATGTGGGGACTGAACCGTCCCCGCCCCGAGTTTGATGGGGAAATCCCGAGTTGACCGGGGGCGGGGTCGGGTTCGGGTTTTCCCGCTTTAAAAGTCGGGCGGGGATGGTAATGCAATCCCCACCTCGACCCCGCCCCGTCCCCGCCCGACTTTATATTTAAATTTAAATTTTAAAATATTAATATTTTAAAAGTATTCCATTTTCTTTTTCTATTACATATAAGGTTATTTTTTTATATTTCACCAATTTTTATTTTTCTTCTACCCACTTTTTAATTTTTTTTATCTTTCTCAATCTTTTATATCAATTAATTTATTATATTATTCTCTCCCTTCTCTTTCAGCTTTTCACATTTTCTTAGTCTCTCCCATCAATTTGTTTTTTTTTTCAATCTTTTCAACCAATTTGATGAACACAAAGTTAATCTTTTTTCTTTATCTTTTTCTAAATATTTTACATCAATCTTAGTAGTAACTAATATTAGTTTATTTATAATTTATATTTATTATGCCATATTTTTTTATCTTATTATGCTTATTTATCATATATCAAATTTTATCTTAATAAAATAATTGCATTTTAAAGGTTTAAAAGAAATTAATAATTTAAACTTTTATTACTTCAAACTAATTAAATAAGAATTAACTTATTAAATATTTTCTTATAAACTATATATTGACAACTTAAAAATAAATTAACTTATATATATAATTAAATATTTGAATACAGTATTATAATAATAATGTTATAAATATTCAAATATTTGAATACAGATGTTATAATAATAATAATAATAATAATAATAATAATAATAATGTTATAAATATTATATATATATATATAAATAAAAAATAATTAAATATTTCTTTTACATATATATTTTAATATAAATATAATAAATTAAAATGTATATTTAATTAATAATAACTATAAATTATAAATATTTATTTATATATAAAAATACATAATAAAATTAATTTATTATAAATATAATTATCTTTTTAAAAATAATATAAATTAGGGACTGGGCGTGGCGGAACCCGAAACCTAGCGGACGGGATGGGGACTCCAGCCGACGGACCACGACGGACGCGGACGGGATGGTTAAAAAGTCGGGGACGGGGACGGGGAGGCAAAACCCGCCCCGCCCGCCCCGTTGCCATGCCTAATAACGTTCCCGATGGTCACAAGTTGGTTTTTCATGTTTTACATCATGTATGCTTAGGAAAATAACTTACAAAATGTACCTCCAGTGGATTCAATTTTGAAACAATTTGACTTTGAAAATGAAATTTAACAGATTATTCTACATTTTATAAATAAATATTTTAAAAGTTATTTTTTAAAGGATTATAAGATATTTAACTCATTTTTACAAATTTAATTTATTAAATTATTAATTATATTTATTTATATATTATAATATCATTATATTTTTATTTTATATAAGATTTTATCACATTATTTTTTAATAGGATTATTTTTATCATTCTCTGTTATTTTGAGGGATTTTTTTCATCACATTTATTTATTTTAAAAAAATTATATTTACACATAATTAAAAATAATTTTGATATCATAACGAAATACTTAATGTTATAAAATAAGAAATCATATTTTTAATTGATATAAAATTTTATCGTAGTTCGATAAAACAAATTTCATGAAAGTTAAATAAATTTTATAATATAGGTAGATAAAATTGGTGACATTGGGTGTATAATTATATATGGGATAAGACCTTCAATTGAATTGAATTTATCGTAAGGTGTTAGAATATGACATTTTCAAGAATTTAACACATAATTTAAGAAAGTATTTTAGTATTGGAGTGAAAAATGTTACAGGGTGGTGGGTGGTAAAATGTGTTAATTCTTACTAACCACTTTGTGTAAAAATAAAATAATATTAATAATTTTAGTTGTTGATTTATTTTGCCTCATCTTATTTAATTTGTTAATTTGGTGGAATGAATTATTGACTCGTATTAAAATAATATTTAAATTATTAAAAAATTTATAATTAAAAATAATATATTTTTATTATATTATTAAAATATATAAATATATTATAATTTAAATTAAAATATTTATTATAATTAAATATTTTTATGCAAATATAATAATTCTTTTAATTTATTTAATAAAAATTTAAAAATTATTCATATAATTAAAAATATATTTTTTAAAAAAATACACATTTTTTATAAGTAACAACTTATTTACTAATTGATCCACACTAATCGACCTTTTAGCGGAACGAATTAAAATTTATAATTTTTTATTAATAATAAATCAACCTGAATCATCTTAAAAAAGGACTATGAATGAATCAAAATGTGACGGAGGGGAACATTTCTCATAAAGAATTAGTTGCTTATAATGTAGTGATAAGGTTAGGTGCATGATTAATGAAAAGATTAAGGTCATTAATGAGTCCCATGTTGACTTGTGAACTCAGTTGTTTCTGAAAATTCAATTTGTTCCAGAAAAATAAATACAAGCGTTTGTCGTATAGCTCAATAGTTCAATTTTTTTCTTACTAAATGAACCTCAATTGTTCAAGACGTGGAAATGAAGGGTGAGTGGAGGTGTGTGCGAAATTAGGTAAGATTGGTTTTAATCATTAGATCCTTACTAAGTTTTATTTTAGGTCATTTTGAATTGCTACTTTAGTTTACATTAAATCGTAATTTAAGGAATTACTTTTAGTAAACACAAAGGAAACACGAGATTTGCAACATTTTAATATTTTCAGAAAATATATCTCTGTTTTCAAGTTATTCCAATTGGGCCTGATCCTTTTTTCTTAACATGTACCCCGCGCGAATTTAGGCCCAAGTGTTCCATCTTCCCTATGCACACTAACATTTTCACAAGCTAAGCAAAACAAAACTGCTGCATCTTCATATATTGTATATTTGATCTTTATAAAAATTTAATTGTATATAACATTTTGATATTTATAAAAAAATTAATTGCATATTTGACTATCCAATTATCCTAATTTAAAACTTTTTCATCCATTGGTAATATATTTTACAATTTTTAACAGGAAATTTTACGATATCAGTTAACGATAATAATGTTAGTACTTATTGACATATATTACGTATTATATTAATAACATTATCTAATTATAAACATTAAAAAGATTTTGTTAGTAATTGGATGATATATTAAGTAGAATCAAATTTGTTTTAAAATAAAGTATTAATAATTTTTTATACAGAACAAAATGATACATTGATGAACTTATATAGACAAAAAGTAAATTTAATCTATAATATACGGTGTCAAATATTTACTGTATGTTTTTAAAAGACAATACCCGTTTAAATTAATCTTCCTTTCTCATAACTTTCTTTATCTAATTTAAGTAAATTAAAAAATGTTTAAAAAGCGGTGAAAAAGCATAACAATTGGAAATAAATAAATAAATTAAAGAAAGGATTTTTTTTTGTAAAAGAAAATAAATAAAAACAAAAGAGATTATGACTTGTTTCGTATATTTATATTTCTCAAAATGCACACTTTAGATTAGTTATTAGTTAATCATAATAACGTATACTACTTCTTAGTGGTACTAATTGTATACACAATTTTTTACAAAATCCCTTCACATGCTTACTTTTTTTTTTCCCATCGCATTAATTATCTTATTATATGGTCTAAATATGTTAATTAAAATTTAAGCATATGTTTAGGCGTGAAGATCCATGCTAATTCTATATTCTTGAACATGCTGCTCCGCTAAGCATTGGTTTTCACGTGACCTAATCTCAGGTACAAACTAATCATCATACGCAATCACGATTCCCATAATACCCTCTATTTACTCCTTAATGACAGAAATATCCCTCATCACGTAACAAGGCCTCATCTAATTGGATCCCTGGCGGTGAGTCACGGATGAGACAGAACCAGTAAAAACGAAAGCATCGCCATCACCATCACCATCATCTTCTTCATCATCATCACCAATTTCAGGGATAACTTCGTCTTTTCCATCCACAGTGGATCTGAAATTGTGAAAAACCCGACACCACCCAATCGAAGTTGCACGAGCAACTACCGCAGGTTCTTATTTCATTGCCTTCTTTTTTTTTTTTTAATTATTGTTATTATTAATATTAATAGTTGCATACACTTTTTGCTTCATTTCTATAGCTTCAATTTCGCTTATGGATTTAGAGTAGGCATTTGAGTTTTAAGGTATGTGTTGCAATTGTACATGTAAATATGTAGGCTTCTCGTTGAGTCGTGATCATTAGTAGCAGCAGAAACGGCTACATCAATTGGACGTTAATTTTGGATGTTTGGAGACCTTGTTGAATAATTAACGGAGATATTGTTTGATTTTTGGATGATGTTTGCATGGCCTCTGTTAATACATCCATATTCTGATTTTGCCTTCAGGAACATAAATCTGTTTTTGGTGTGATAATACAATTCTGTTCTAAGGGAAAGTTTGGAACCAGTTCAATGGGCAGTTGTTATCAGTTGAGAGAATGTGTCCATGACAGAGGTGTATGTTTGCTTGTGTGTAGTGTGATTATGAAGGTGAAATATATAATGTTAGTGGAAGAAGAATTTCGGTTCTAAGGAATTGATTGTTACTTGTTTGCTTGGTCTATTATGAAAGCAAAAACATTTTTTTTAGGGTGGATGAGGCTGGTACTTATTGGTGGGGCATTATTAATTCCGAAAAGTTCGTGTAAGGAGAGAGATAAAACACAAAGGAACGGAGTGTTAATATTTTTATTATATTCTTTTCTATTGGAACTGTGCAAGAGAGGATACATACTCAACTGTGAAATACAAATCAAATTATATGTATGCTTTCCAGAACTAGACAGTTCATTAAGAAAGAAAATAAGAAGAATAGAAAGAGAGATAATTTTTAAAAATTGTTTGGGAGGGAAATTATATGTATGTTTTTTTTGCTGAATTAAAAGACTTCTTTGCTTGAATACTAAAGTCTAGCTCCATATATTTTTATTTTCATGTCTTTATTTGTCCTTCTGATCCGTTCATTCTTATTCTTACACAGATAAACCTCTAGAACAACTAGTATTACTGGAGATATTGAATGATAAATATTTCCTGAATGTACAGTCTGAGTCAGAGATCTGTACTTGCTGTATCGATTAAGCACAGATGAAAGCAGGAAATATTTATAGCTTTAAAGGGAGTCTTATTTCTCTGGCTCTCGTTACTCTTGTTCTTTTTGCCACGTTAATGTGGACATGGGAGAGAAATCCAATAATAGCTATGACTTTAAGATCTGCTCAAGAATGGTACCACTTTCCTTCAGGTTTGTATTCTAGCCAGGGATATAGATGGTATTAATCACCTCTGTCCTCTTGTACCTTGTTACAGACTGCTTGAGTTTGAAAACAATTTACGCTGTATTCAACAAAATCTAAAATGGACGCTGCTCCAAGAGTAGATAAACTTTTTGATAGAAGCGGAAGATTTGATTTGGAGGAATGCTTGTACCTGTAATTTTTTAGCATGTTCAGATATTGATATTAATAATAATTTAAATAATCCTGGAATCTGATATGTCCAAGTTCTTGAACTTAGACTACTTGATACGATCTTGATATCCATACGATGAACATGACTTCTAGAAGCTTGATAATGTTCTTGAACTTAGATTAATTGATAAGGATCTTGAGATCCCTCTGGATCTGTTTAGATAAACTTCTTCATAAGCTCCTTTTAGGAGAGAAAAATAAAAGGAAAATTTGAAATTAGTTTTTTCAACAAGTTAAAATTTGCCTATACATAAGCTAACTTGTAGAAACTGTCATATAATTTCTCTAAACATTTATTTTTAACTTGAAGCTAATTTTAGCGTATGAAGAAGTTAATTTTATTTTTTTCCTTCTCATATTTCTCCTAGAAGAGCCTATGAAGAAGCTCATCCAAACAGGGCCGAAATTATTATTGCTTCGGCCATGTAGAATTTCTAATAGAAACCCAGAAATGCAAAAGAGAATGTTAACAGGCTTAGAGAGAGAAAGTAAACATGAACATGATTGCCCAATGCCCTTTTCCCATGTACACTTTCTGTCATTTTCTCTTTCTGTAATCTACTCTCCTAAATGACTAACTGTCCAATTCCCTGCCAAACAACTAATTATTACTTTTATTTATTCTAGTATGCACCCTCTACTCTTTCCTTCCAGACACATTATATTGGTCCCTAACAATTTCTGTTGTAAAAATGAACACTGTTAATTGTATTTCTGTCAGTCAATTTCCCTAATAAGTTTGACATTTTCTATTGTTTTTACTTCTTATAGGATCTGCATCACTGTTCCATTGACTAATAATTAATTGATCTTACTTCTTGTTGATTTTGTTACCATTTTATGTGTTTTGTATTACCATTTCCTAAACCTGCTATTTTCTGTTATTAACTGTACACTGAGGATTTTTTTTTTATGAATGCATCTGCTTTTAATTTCCTGCGGAAGCCCCTATTGAATCTGTTGGAACTTCAACAATGGAAAAGGGTGTGGAAAAATCCGTTACTCCCAGCACAGAAAATAGAACAAAAATTGAACTTGGTACAGAGGTTGTAGCAGCAGTAAATTCTATACCTGCAGAATCTCCAAAAATTCAATACAATGAAAATGTCACACCTCCTCCCAGAAGTAAAGGAACCCCAACACTGGAAAAGGTTGTGGAAAAATCCATTACTCCTCCTACCACAGAAAATAGAACAAATATTCAACTTGATACTGAGGTTGTAGCAGCTGTAGATTATATGCCTGCAGAATCTCCAAAAACTCAATACGATCTAAATGTCACGGCTTCTTCCAGAAGTAAAGGTAGATTCCTTTTGTTCTGTTCTTAAATTCATCACAATTAATTTTCTGTTACTCTATGAACATCCCTATAGTTATCATTGTTCTTCAATTTCATGATGCTTTCGAGAATTTGCTTGGGCTGCTCTCTGGCTACTGAGTACTGATCTACACTGTACAATCTAAACAAAGTGCAGAATTTTTCTATTTAAGGGTGGTTGTTAATAAGACAATGTAATGGGGAGGGGATCCATCATCTACCGTGGAGTCAAGAAGTATGCCAATAGATTCTGGTTCCCCTGCTATCAAACATTCTGGAGAAGTAGCATTTCCCTAGCTATTTCAATTTTTGTACTTGCTTAAGTAGAATACAGGTTGGAGAGAACAATGGCATAAGAAAGTTTCTCTAAAAGCTTCAATTATCTTAAAATTTTTTATTCTCTTTGAATTGGTTGTTTATGTGGAATTCAAATTGGATAACAACATAATGCAGATTCTCTTCAAGCAATTTAGTAAAATTCTCTTTGACATTGGTTATTCCTTGGGAATCATAAGTTGTTTGACAGGGGAAATTCTTTTTTCTTCTTTCTCTAGCTCAAGTTATGTTGTAAGTATTATTTCCATCTTTCACTATCATGATAGCCATGAATTTTTGCAACCTCACCAACTGAATTCAACTTTCAAATATTAAATTTTGTTGTATAACTTTATATATTTTGGGAAAGTATTTTGAGATCTTAAGGAAAAAGAAGGATAAATTCTTATTGAGAGTCTCCTCCTGATGCAGAATGGATTAAGCATATTGAAGGACTATTGTGTTTCCGGAAAAATATATTATTATAGAATTTATATTTTCTATTATTTTAAAGATCTTTCATTATTTTTAGAGATTTTATGTTTAACCAGTATTTATCTAGGATTTTATATTTGATCAAAAACATTTGCAGGATTTTATTATCTTTGGGCTATGAATTGATAATATCCTTTAGGTGCTGCATGTTATTTGGGCTTTTTGCATAATTGATTATTGATATTGTATCTTAGAATATCTAAAACTTGAGTGGCAAGAACATATTCCCCATAGAGGACCACTCTAGGTTTGTTTATTACTTTATTAGACAATTATCTCAACAGAAGAGTGCTAATGGTTTCTTAGTCGGGAGAGTAGCATCTTCTTTGTAGTTATTACTAGTACAATTTTGACTTTCTAACTGGTGGTGACATTGGCCACATTAGTCCAACTAATTCCCCAGAAAACTAGCAAATAATTTGCAGATTGTACGTCTTTTCCTGGATTAATATGCTTAACCTTGTCTCTTCAATGAAGTTCACTGGTTGGATTTAGTATTGTTTGGATTTCTCCTTTTGCAGTTTGTAATTATGCCAAGGGTAAGTGGGTTGCAGACAGCAGAAGACCGCTTTATTCTGGGTTCAGCTGTAAGCAATGGTTATCCTCAATGTGGGCATGTAGAATGACACAACGACCAGATTTCTCATTTGAAGGATATCGCTGGCAGCCAGAAAATTGTGATATGCAAGAGTTTGACCGGTCTGCATTCTTGAGAAAGTAGGTATAATCCTTTCTTCTTCTTAGATCTAGTTCATAATAACACATCTTTGAGCAAGATTATTATCTGCCTGTTACGTTTATTCAATTCTTTATCTATAAAGATGCTTAAAAGCTTTCTGATTTTGCGTCAAACATAAATAACCTTTCATCACTTTAATTTTCATTTTATTCAGTATGTACTTTTTGTGTTTGGTTAAATCAGAATTTCTAATAGTTTTGCCTTTACTTTTTTCTGTTTTTCTTTTGGCTAAAAAATATAACGGAGGTAGTGAATTTCACTTTAGGAGTCTGTTTAGACAAGCTTCCCCATACACACTTGTAGGAGAGAAAAAAATGAACTTATCTAAAAGTTAAAATTAGCTTATGCATAAGTTAATTTATAGAAATTCTATTTTATAATTGTTGAAATTGTTATTTTTAACTTAGCATAAAGCTAGTTTTAGCTTTGCAAATTTCATCTTTTTTTCCCCCCTCATTTTTCTCCTCTGGAAGTGTTTATGGAGAAGTTTGTCTAAATAGTATTTCGTAAGTGGTGTTTAATACTAATGTGGAATGTAGGATGCAGGACAAAACAATTGCTTTCATAGGAGATTCATTAGGCCGACAACAATTTCAATCTCTAATGTGTATGGTCACTGGTGGGGAACAGAGCCCAGAGGTTCAAAATGTGGGATGGGAATATGGTTTGGTAAAACCTCGTGGAGCTATTCGTCCTGATGGTTGGGCTTACAGATTTCCCATGACTAATACCACCATCTTATATTATTGGTCTGCTAGCTTAAGTGATTTGCAGCCCCTTAACATCTCAGACAAACTGACAAACGTTGCCATGCATTTAGACCGTCCCCCAGCTTTCATGAGTCGGTTCCTCCATCGCTTTGATGTTTTGGTTCTTAATACAGGACATCACTGGAACCGGGGGAAGCTTACCGCAAACAGGTGGATAATGCATGTTAATGGAAAGCCAAACGAAGACAAGAAGATTGAAGAAATGGCAAATGCCAAAAACTTAACAATCTACAGTATAGTCAGATGGCTTGATTTGCAACTTGTTTCGCATCCTCGGCTCAAAGCTTTCTTCAGGACTATATCTCCTAGGCATTTTTTCAATGGGGATTGGAACACTGGTGGAAGCTGTGATAACACTATCCCATTAACCAATGGAAGTGAGGTCATGCAAGAAGGGTCTAATGATAAAACTATTGAAGGTGCTCTAAAGGGTACAAAGATCAAGATACTGGACATAACTGCTCTTTCACAATTGAGGGATGAGGCTCACATGTCACGCTACACTATTAGAGGGACTCTTAATACAAGTGACTGCTTGCATTGGTGCCTACCTGGTATTCCAGATACGTGGAACGAACTCCTCCTTGCTCAGATATAGGCTCCGTCATAGTTTAGGCACCTCTCCTTGCTTATAAATGCATTGCAGAATGCATTAGTAAGATGTTTAGGGCACCAGAATCTGTCTATTAATTACGGTCTAGAAAGACCAATTGTTATTTTTGTCCAATGATGTATTTCATTTATTGTTTTCTCGGTGAATACGAAGTAGGGAGATCTTTCAGCTCCATTCCAGTTTCATTTTCAATGAAAGAACAATTAGGTGAAACTTATACATGTATGTTTTGGACTAAATCTAGGATGAACATAACCACAAACGGCATGAGTTATAAATACCATAGGCATGGCCAAAGTTGACATGGCTTGAACAAATTAAAACGATTTTGTAGTTTTGATGGAGGTATTTGTATTATAATTGGTTTCCATGAGAGCAGTTTTATTTTTATCATGAGCTTATTTAACTGGTTCCAAGGTAATATTTCTGAGAAGCGGAGTGAAAGCCTGAAATACTTGATGGAACCTGATCTTTGGGATCACTGTTTTGGTTAATGTGGAATGTCACAGATGATTTCGTTTTCAACTCGAAGAACCATTTAGCTCATGAAGTCGTTCATCGAATCGCTAGCAATTCAAAGCTCATATCTGATTTAGTACTTGGCCAAAAATATGTTTCTCTTCATTTTCTTTTGATCCAAAAGTCACTTTTTTATGTCAGAAAATTTACAATTATAATGTATATAATTTTGTCATTTAGTTTTCAAATTTAGTTTAACTTTTTCACTTGTATCTTCTTACCCTTACATGTGCCTGCCCTTATTTTAATCATTTTTAGAAAGACCGAGACGCGGACGAAAATTTTTAATTCTATTTAATAATAACTAAACATTTATATTTTCACCCAAATCAAGTTCGACTGGACACAAACTATGTAAAATTTATACATTTGGATTTTAAATCACTGAATCCTACTAATTTTCTATTAGTAAATATGTAGAATTAATTTTTTTGATTTTTTTCATATATTTATTATTTTTTAAATATATAAATTATAATAATTATTTTTCTTTAAATTATGATATTTTTATTTTAAAAAAATTATAAGCATAGATTTTGTATCTAAATTAATCTAAATCACACGTATCTTTCTATTTACAAACTTATAAAATTATTTCTTTTTACGTCTTCACTTTTTCTCACATCCCTCTAAATTATAATTACCGTATCTTAGTTCTCTTTAGCGTATTTTTCTATGTACAAACTTATAAAATTATTTGTCTCTTTACGTATTTACTTTTTCTCACATTTCTCCAAATTACATGATAATTACTGTCTTAGTTATCTTTAGTATATCAATTATATCATTTGGTAAATATTAATAAATTGCTGGTTTGAGGGATACTGATCTCAGTCTTTTCAAATAAGACCTCGAATTTATGTTTTTAATTAGGATATTTATACACTAAAAATAATACCTATATTATTTTTGTTTTTATGTTTTAATGTAAAAACTAAATTAATTTATATTGTTAATTTTTGAGACATGATTGAAATTTCACTTTGATACAATATATAATATTTAACATTGTAAATATCGATCATTCTAAATCCCACTTGTTGAGACAAATCATAATATTTTTTTATTGACATCCTTACGTGTGAAGTTTCCATCTTTTGATACACAATTTTGTTAGGTAATTTAAATGTATAGGAGATAAATTTCACGTATAATTTGTAATTTTTTTTATGATATAAATATTTTTCCATACAATTTATGTATTTTTAATCATCATTACAATTAAAAAATATAAAATAAAGTAATATTGGCAAAAAGTAAAATATAAAAAATAAATCTAAGTTAATAAATAAAAAAATATAAATTGATAATTTAATACCTCATGACATAGCCAAACTTTGGAGTTTACGACCATCCAATCCAAACATCAACTCACCTATCAAACTCCATTGTCACTTTATTATTTTATTTGATATTATATTATTCTTTATAATACAAACTTATCCTTTTATTAACCAAAACGACGTTGTTTCAATTATTCTATTCGCACACACCCTCAACAGGAATCTCTCACTCGCTCGATAAATTCATACGTTAGGGCGCGCTTTTTCCCGGCCTCCCTCGCCACCCTATCTCCGCCGCAACCCCGTCCATCTCCATCACCGTCGCCACCTCCCTCACTCACTCTTCGTATCTATACGGCTTCTCTAGGTCTCAGCAATGAGTCTCTCAGCGTGCGCAGAGCTATTGGGTTGTTACGCCGTCGCAGCATCGGCGAAACCTAATCCCGGCAAGTCCAACGCCACCGCGGTAACAAGCCTCGTCCTACGCACTCCAATCGGTCGTGACGGTGCCTTTTTGTCAGTTTCGCGGTCGAAGAAGACCAGCATAATAGTCACGGAAGCTAGTCAAGGTCTTACTTATAGGGACGCCGGCGTGGACATCGACGCTGGTTCCGAACTCGTGCGCAGGATAGCGAAGATGGCGCCAGGGATTGGAGGCTTCGGCGGTTTATTCCCTCTCGGTATGATTTGACTCCTTTTTTTTCACTCTTTGTTTTTCGTTCCTTGCAATTGAATTTTAATCGAACTTGTTGTTCGAGTAGGTGACTCGTACCTCGTTGCCGGAACCGATGGTGTGGGAACGAAGCTGATGCTTGCGTTCGAAACTGGAATTCACGATACAATCGGGATTGATCTGGTAAAAACTTTTTACGCAAACTGATTTTTTATTTTTATTTTGCGTTTGTGTTGGTGTTTGGTTTTGGAGTTTTGAGCGTTGTTTGTGCTGTTTAGGTTGCGATGAGTGTGAATGACATTGTTACTTCGGGGGCGAAGCCTTTGTTTTTCCTTGACTACTTCGCCACTGGCCACCTTGACGTGGACGTGGCTGAACAGGTAATATCTGTGCCTTCTATTGAACTTTGAGCGTTGTGAAAGCTTATTTGTGTTTCATTCTCATATGATTGCATCTCCCTCAGGTTATAAAAGGCATTGTTGATGGTTGTAAGCAATCTGATTGCGTTCTTTTAGGAGGAGAGGTAATTGATAAGTTTTGCTGTTTGTTTTTTTCGCTGTATATAATTGAATTCACATTGATCTTTACAGAAATTTACTAATATATTTACAAGAAAAGATAAGACTGGGAACAACTGCTTCTGTGAGAAAAAAGTTGGAGGAGCAGTTATTGTGGGGTGGGTGGCTTGGAATTGTGAGAAGAGTAATAAAATAAAGACTTCACGAAGAAAAAAACTGAATTGTACAAGGGAAGACCTAAGAAAATATTAGGAAGACCTTGTTCTAAATGGCTTTACTGAAAAATTGTTAATAGCAATGATTGATTCATGTAGCCAACCCTACCTGTTCGCATAAGGCTTGTTCAGTTTCTTCGTTTTTGTATTGCATGTCAACAACATTACTATATAATAGTCATCCTTTGCTGGTTTAAATGTACATGGATTCTTGGGACTTTATTCAGCAGACTGAACCTGTCGTAGAATTTTGAGATCTTACATTGTTGCCAAGATGATCAAGTACATGAATATATTGTTGCGAATAGCTCTGCTGTAATAAATGTGATAAAGAGAGTGTAGCTTTTTATATTTCTCCTTTTGCACTTACTCTTGATTTTATATGCTTCTCAGACTGCAGAGATGCCTGGTCTCTATAAAGAAGGTGAGTATGATCTTAGTGGCTGTGCAGTAGGCATTGTGAAGAAAGATTCTGTAATCAATGGGACTAACATTGTTGCTGGTGACGTTATTATTGGTCTACCATCTAGTGGACTTCACTCGAATGGTTTCTCACTTGTGAGAAGGTTGGTCAGCATAGAATCTATAAGAATTTATTAAATTATGGATTATCAGTTACTGAAATTTTTCTAATATATTTTAACAGAGTACTTGCTCAAAGTGGTCTTTCACTTAAAGATCAACTACCTGGTAGCAATGTTACAATTGCAGAGGCTTTGATGACCCCAACCATTATCTATGTTAAACAGGTCATTCTAGATTTTGATGATAGACTTTAAAATACCATTTTTCTTATGTTAAATTCCTTCCTTGACTTCCTCTTATTTTTCAAAATAGGTACTTGACTTAATTAGCAAGGGAGGGGTGAAGGGAATTGCTCACATCACTGGTGGCGGTTTCACAGATAACATACCCCGAGTTTTTCCAGAAGGCCTCGGAGCAGTAATATACGAAGGCTCTTGGGAAGTGCCTGCAGTGTTTAAGTGGCTTCAGGAGGTAATACATCCTTCTCCTTGAATAAATATACTCCAGCAGAAAATAAATTATTTATTATTTTTCATCAACAACTACATATTTTAATTTAGTCTTCAAAATTTTAATATGGAAACGAAAGTATACAACTCTATATTGATTGATAACCTCTCACATTAGGCTGGGAAGATAGAAGACTCTGAGATGAGACGGACTTTTAATATGGGCATAGGGATGATCTTGGTGGTTAGTCCAGAGGCAGCTAACAGAATACTCGATAACAGAAGCCACACGGACAAATTCTACCGGATTGGTGAAATTATAAGCGGCAAGGGAGTAACCTTCAGCTAGTTCTAGTTGAGTTTAATAAAGTTGTACCAATTTAATACTTTAATGGAAAATTTCTCTCGGGGAATGAGATTCCGATCGTCAGTTTATTTGGAACCTAATAAATTTCCCTACATAAATGTTACAAAATTTGCAACAATTTTGCGGTTGTCATGTTGCTATTGATGCTATTGAAAATTATTGACGTTGTTTTGATGTCGCTTTTAGTGAAAATGATTAAGTGTAATGATCCTGTGATTTGTAGAAGAGGATGAATAATTCTTGTGTATATTATTTTGGAATCTAAGATTTACATGAATAGAATATAGAAAAAGGAAAGTAAAGAAAAAGGAGTTATAAATCAGAGATATTTTATTTTGGTCTACAAATAAGCCGAACAGATCAAATTAGAATAATTTAATTATGTTCTTTCCTAATTATTTTAAATCATATTAAATTTGAATAATTTGATTAATTATTTACTCTTTATGAAAATAAAATCCAGCTGTTTAATTAATTTGTTTATAATATGCCTAATTGTCAACACCTTGCAAGTTGTTATATAACTTGTTTACAACCAATTTAAAGATGGGCCTAAACCATTTCTTAGAGTAGGAGGAAAAGGTAAATAAAGAACAAAAACATATAAATTTTTCATGTCCAACCTCACTTTTATGAGATTTTTATTAATTTCACTTTTTATGATATGTTTATCAATTTCACACTTGTATCTATAATCTTCAACAGCGTTACTAATTGTAAGCTTATTATATAATAATACAATTTTATTAAAAAATGGTGAGTAGAAATGAAAATTAAACTCTTAATCATGGTGATCTATCTATACCCGTCGCGAGTTTGACGGGAAAAACTCAAGTTGATTGGAGGGAACGAATTTGAGTTTTTTTCGTTTTAAAGACGAGGAAAACCCAAGTTGATTGGGGCGGAAACGAGTTTGAGTTTTTTCACTTTAAAAAGTCGAGGACGGGGATGGGTAATGTAATCCTTACCTCATCCCGTCCCTCGCCTCGACTTTATATTTAAATTTAAATTTTAAAATATTAGTATTTTAAAAGTATTTTCTTTTCTATTCTATTTCATATAAGGTCTTTTTTATATTTCATCATTTTTTTATTTTTTTCTACCCACTTTTTAATTTTTTTGTCTTTTTTAATCTTTTATATTAATTAATTTATTACTTTATTCTCTCTCCTACCTTTTAGTTTTTCACATTTCTTTAATTTTTCCCATCAAATTTTTTTTCAATCTTTTCAACCAATTTGATGAACACAAAGTTAATTTTTTTTTATCTTTTTTCTAAATATTTTACATAAATCTCAATAGTAACTAATATTATTTTATTTATAATTTATATTTATTAGATTTTATTATATCATAGTTTTTTATTTTATTATTCTTTTTTATCATATATCAAATTTTATCTTAATAAAATAATTGTATTTTAAAGAATTAAAAAGGAAATGATAATTTAAACTTTTATTACTTTGAACTAATTAAATGAGAATTAATTTATTAAATATTTCCTTATATTATTATATATTTCATATTTTTAAATGATAACTTAAAAATAAATTAACTTATATACATAATCAAATATTTAAATACAGTATTATAATAATAATGTTATAAGTATTCAAATATTTAAATATAATTTTATAATAATAATATTATTATTATAAATTTCTATATATATATATAAATAAAAATAATTAAATATTTATTTTATATACATATTTTACTATAAATATAATAAATTAAAATGTATATTTAATTAATAATAATAATAAATTATAAATATTTATTTATATATAAAATACATAATAAAATTAATTTATAATAAATATAATTATCTTTTTAAAAGTAATATAGATTAAAAACAGAACATAGACAAGCAAATTAAAAACCCAACAAATGCAATAATAAAGATTTAATTTTTAACACCAATATAAATGAGAGACAGAGAAAAAGTGATTAAAAACATTAGAGACGAAAATAGAGAAAACAAAACCGAACCTATTTGCGAATGTGTATAATTCTTTAAATCAATAAAATCTTAAAAACACTTCAGTCGCTCCGAAATATTCAGTCTTGTACTACTCTTGGGCACTTCATCTTTTTCTTTTATTCCCTAAATAATGAATACGCAGTAAGGCGATGTTGAATCCTGATTAGCAATAGTCCAATCAGCATTTTGCTACCTCAATAATTTGTAGTCAAGTATTTTTAAAATACGATCCTTTGCCTAGTTAGATTCTATCAATCATCACCTTTTATACATAATAACATAGGTATAGTAACTTTATTTCGGTCTTATGGTAACATGAAATTAAATATTTTCATTTGTTAGTTCTTTTTTGTTATACCTATTGATTTATAATTAAAAAATGAATATTTATTTCAACAAAAGATAATATAATATTTTGCAATAGAAAGTTAATAACAATTAATTATAGTTGAACAAAAAATAAATATATCTCCTATTATTTAAACATAAAATATTTTTTTATCATATGCAATAAAAATTCCGTTAACGAAGTCAAACTGTGAACAAAACCTTCAATTTTTTACTAATATTTAATGGAAAATATATAATAAAAATATTTTATAGGAATAATGATTATTATTTATATATTTAAAAAATAATAAATATATGCAAAAAATGATTCATGATTAGTAAAAAGAATATATATTCAAAAATAGAAAAAATAAAATAAAATTATAAAAATATTTTAATAAAATTAGTTATATAAGAAATACATATATACAGAATTTATAATATATATTTTTACATATATATATATATATTTGTCAAAATAGTTATTATAATTTATATTTTCTAAAAAATATAAGAGAAAAGAAAAAATATTTTAAAAAAAGTAAAGAAAGAAAAAATTAAAATAAAAAATAATTATACAAAATATAAAAACTAAGATATATATAATCAAATAGAAAAGTTGTACATTAATTATAAATATCTTATTATTTATTATTATAAATAATAAATTTTATTGTAGTTTTAATTAAAAATAATAAAATAGATCAATCTATTTTCGCTCGTCTTTTTTAGTTAAAAATAAATCAATATTGACGGATAATAAATATGTCAAGTGATCCCATAATTTAAAAAAAATTAATTTATTTATAAAAGTTAAATTTTTTAACGAATTTAATAATAAGATTATTATTTATTTATCAATAATTTAACATATATATTTTAAATTAATAATATAAATTCATTTATTATTTTAAAAAATTATAATTTAAAATAATAATAAAATTTATATAATAAATAAATATACATATATATAAATAAGGTAAATATTTATAAAATTTATATTTTTTATATTAAAAAATTTAAATATTTATATATATTTTTATTTAATAAAATTTTATATTATTTTTTTAAGTAATTTTTTATTTTTAATTTAAATCATAAAGATAAAAATAACAAACATAAATTAAAAAAGAAATAACAATAAAAAAAAAAACAGAAAGGAATTTGTGTTTAAAGAAGGTGAATGTTTTTTCATAAGAGTGAAAATAAGATTTTTAAATTTTTTTATAATTTATAATTTTATATATTATTTTCATGATTAACTATAATTTTTATTTTTTATTAATTACACTGCGAATCAGTGAGCCGACGACGGATTTGGTGGAGCATACGAGAGAACTGTCCCCGCCGGACCTGGCGGTCTTCCCATCCCTAGTTTCAGTTGTGACACATGGAATATTGTGTCGTTTTGTCTCTAATTATCAATGTGGTGGTTCATTAGGCTTGAACTTCGAATCTGCAACCGTGAATCAAAGCCCGTGCTTTTGTCTTTTCTGTGCTCCTCCCCAATTTTGCGTTTTAAGAAATTATTTCCCGCTCTGTTCTTCCCTTAAATGCCACACCCTCACCCAGTCGTAGTAATTCTTTTCTGTAACTAGTAGTGTTGTTATAATTTTAACATCACTCCTTCATTTTCAAGTTGTACCAAAGGTTTGGAGCGAAACCCTAATTTTTTTCTTCTAATTATACGAAACCAACTCCAATTTATTGCTTTTGTGTGTGAAGCTGCCTTCTCAAGTTTGTAGCTTTGTAACAGTTGAAGCATAATATTGACTTAGAATGGCGTTTGAAGGCTTTGATCCTATCTTTAGTAAACCCAAAGTGGAATGGGCTTCTCAAAGTTCTTGTCCCTTTTTCGTACATGTGTATGCCCCTGATTCTTCTCACCTCGTAATTCATGTCACTAATATATGTGATGCCTGGGAAGCCCGTCTTTCACTTTCCATGCTTGAGGACATTGTGAGCACTCTTGATCACCCTCATTTGCTTGCATCATTCTCTATTTAAGGAAGTAATGTGAGTGACAGTGTTGGTTCAGAGGAGAACCGTGAAAATTAAAAAAAAGAAAAGAAAAAGGAAAATGGTTGCAATTATCAAATATGGTTTTCCCCTAAGTATTTTTATGATTTTGTTTATAATAGCTATTACCATTGTTTGACCTTTTGTGCAGAGGGATAGTGTTGGAATTGGGGGGTATTGGTCAGAGTTTGCCGATTATTTTATAACATCCCTCAAGTCACAAGATCTGAAGCTGGTTCTAGAGACAGATTCAAATTCTGATGGTATTTAGTAATCTGGCTACATCTACTCTTTGCTTTTTGGAATTTTTACAATAAGAAACATCATACAATGTATTTGTTATTTCTAGAGAAATTTAACTGCTGAAGTGTGTAAGCACCACCTTTATTTTGGATTTCAGTCCTCTCTTGAAGATCCGGATCAATGAAGTTACGGGGGATTTAAGTGTTTTTGTGGTCTGACTATGATATAGCAAAGCCGTACATATGCTCAGTTTTATAAGCGTGCATGCGTTAAACTTCTGTGAAGTTTAATTAGGAAACATGAGTAGTATGATTTGAATTAATTAAAACACCATTGAAGAAATTTGTGATCTTATGTTCAAATGTAGTGCCAAATAGGCCTCATTTATGTTGCGTAAGTGTTGAAAAGTCTCCCAATAGTTGCCATCTCCATTATTTTTTTTTCAAGGAAATTAAGGTTTTAGGTGAATAATTATACCTTTTGTTGTGGCTGTTCTTTAGGCACTGATCTTCACGACCATTTGTGCTATTAGTGTATGGCATTAAACTTTGTGAAGATTGTTTTGGTGACTTATTGAAAATCATGATGTCACATGTGGTTAAATGTTGTCATGGAGTTAATTGCAAAGTCGTTGACTATGGAGTGGACAACCTAAGGGGAAAGAAACCAAAAAGTTGTGGCATGTATGTGGTGAAACTCTGGTTGGTTTTGATACTTTGACATAAATTTCTTGTTGTTATGCTGTTTATCATCTTGATATCATTTTTATTTTGATATCTTTCAATCCTGGTGTTTTAATTCAGTTTGTTGTCCTGCTAATGCTGCAGTATGTGAAATGGGGTTGCTGTCTTGCTATTTTGGATTATCTTTTGTCCTGCTTCAGTAATTAATTACTAATTTTTTATTTTCATTTTTAATTCATATATTGGCTAATATTTCTATAGTTACATGTGTAATACTTCTACGACTACATATATATCCTATCACTTTTTATATGTTTTAGTTTAGAAGTTCTTTAATGCACATAATAAAAAATTCTATATTATAATTGTTATTCTTAGGAATCATTTTAAGGAAGCATACTCATTGGTCACTGCTCTCTATTTTCGATACTAATATTTCAGGTGTTAGTCATGCAAAATTAGTAGCTCAGAAATCAAAAGGGATGCCTTTGATCACTATTCCTCTTACCAAACTTGCAGACTCCACTGCTATGGAAGTCAAGTTAAATTTTTGCTCGAGCCTCTTCGATGCATTCAAAATCAAAAGCATGGAGTGTTCTCTTGTAAAAGGTGTGACCATCCCTTTCAAATTGCATCAATCTTTTAAATCGTAGGTCTTACTTGTGTTTTGTTCTTTCTAATCATGTCTGTAAATGATTAATATATTATGTTTAATGATAACTATATTATGTTGAATTTTTAGGATATAATTTTGGCATTGAAAGCTAATTTGTTGTAAAAAATGACATTTAGTAGCATAGTTAGTTGTCATTCTGAAATTCATTCTTCATGACTGGACCAACAATTGTCGTAATTTGTTATAACTAGTTATCATTGTTTTTGGTTGTGTCATATAACATATTGTTGTAAAATTTAGTGGTAATTGGAAGATGAGTTGTTTGGCTTTTAAAAGTGGTCAATTTAAAAAATGAAGAAAAATGCTTGCCATCATCCTTGGTCTCGTGATAAATTTCTGGGTCTATATTTCTTCTTTGGTCTTGATAATTTGTTCTTCATGTCTTTGATTCATTGGCCAAGTTCATGATGGGTTTGGGTTTTCTGTTGCATGTAAATGCACAAACATTCTTCTGTATCATAACTATTAGCTATCAAATAGTTTAACTCATGTGAATGTGCCTTACAAAGATGTGGGGAACATATTTATAAACTTAGATCTGAACCTATATAGCCTATTCTCTGGAATTCACTGTTACTTTTGTTGTGCTTTCAGAGCGAGAGCACTCTGCCCGGTCAAAAATGTTAGCAGCTGAAAAGGTTAGATAGCCAAATTGAGTTGAACTTTTACAGCATAGGCTCTCTCTCTCTCTCTCTCTCTCTCTATTTAGGTTTCTCATCTGCAGTGTGGGATTTATTGTTATATTCTGAATTACAAGTATAACAGAATCTAGATCAGAGATGATGAAACAATGAAAATAAATGTCTTTTTATTGAAATTAAATATAAGAATCAGTTCACAAAAAAATAAAATAAAATAGAAGTATCTAGAACTATCTGGTATTCAAGAGGCCTGAACTCTCTACATCCCACAATTGCCTAGTCAGCTTTGTAATGCGCTTTCCTTCCTTTTTATACTCCTTAACTCTACTCTTAACTAAATACCTGTAGTTAGTTGCTACTGAACAGGGTTCAGAATGTAATTATGCTTGAATGATTTATATATTTCACCTTCAAGATAACCTCAAAATTTGATTAGAATAAGTTTGTTTTTTCTTAGGTGCCTGGGATGAAAGCATTAACTTTCACCCATCTGCTGCTTGTAATAAATTAGTAAAATTAGATTTTCCCCTATATTGTAAGCTTAAAATGAGCACTCTTTTTATATCTATCAGGAAAGAAATGAAATGATTCAGTTGGAACAGCGGCAAAAGTTTCAAAAGATTAGTGACTTAGAGAATGGTGTTTCTTCTGAGGGATTGCAAAACTCTCCAGGTAAAGGGTCGACCTTTTGCTGATAAAGTATTTCCAAGATTGTTGTTTTATGGATTGAAGGTCTTATCAACTTGTCTTCAGTAATATGGTATACATGGTGAGAATGAAAAAAATGTATCAAGGCTGTGACTAAAGTAAATTTTTTAAATTAGGTCTGTCCACAATCTTTTAGTTGTTTAACTATTTCTTCTGCTAGGAAAACGGTAACAGTCACCTCATATCTATTGTCTTTTGAGTCAAGAAGGAGAAAAAAAAAGACTCAGGGAAAAAGAAAAAAAAAAAAAAGCAACTCCTGGCCTCACCTTGAATATTCTAGAATATGTTTGGGAGCTTCTGCTTATATTTTGCTGTTGTTTCATTCCAAGTGTTTTGGCTTCTATTCACCATCTCTTGGATTTTATTGCTTCAAGCATTAATGAAAACAATTGTTTTTTACCTTCCTGGTGACATGCAGATAAACAAGCAGCTAGGGATGCAGGTTCTACGAAAGTAAAGACTCGTAAGGTGCCAGCATATCGCAGGCAAGTTTTCATACTAGCTTATTAGCCTTAATTATGGTCCTACTATCTATTCTTTCCATCATAGTTACACTAACCTCTTTTCACAGCAGGACCAAAGTAAGAGGAGCCCTCTTGCATGATAATGATGAATGAGTCATAACTCAGTTCTCATTCCAACCAGTTGCTTAGTAGGAAGGAAGTGAAAGAACGACAAAGAAAGTAGCGATCCGTTGAATTTCAGATATTTTTCTTGGCTTAGTAGATGGGGAAATGTGATGGGATGGGGGACTGAAGAAGGGACGGATGAGGCAATAGGATCTGTGTTGTGTCAGTGTGTTCTCAACTTTTCATGGTGAAAGCTGAAAGACACCTTCGAAAGAAGAAAATGTATTTGGTTGTGAGATTTCCCACCGATAAGATAACGTAGTTTGGTTATGTGCCACCTTTTGGTAAAACTTACGAAGGGCATAGTGAATTTAAACTAATCTGACATCTTAGTGAACATGCTTGTATATACAACAATTATTATATCATGCACAATAGTTTTGGTTAGTGCTTTTAGACACCCGTCTCGTGAAAATTTGATTTTCTTTTCTTAAATTTGGGAATAGGCCAGATATTCAGGTTAAGTTGTCCACCCAAATTTTGTAAAAATGGAATGAAATCTTCCGTTGGTGAAACACGTGATCCATTGTTATTGATAATAGCTCAGCTTGATCGTCAGAACAATGAGCTGAAAAAAGTTCATGTGCTACTTGACAGAACAGATGCCTCTTCTATATTAGCTATTAGCATTCGTGAATTTTACGGATAATGATAAAAATGAATACTAGGACAAGTGAGCAGAGAATAGTTCTCGTAATGTTTGCCAATTGCTTATGCGCCACACTGCTGTAAACGCTCCATAATTCAGCATAAAAATGTACGCAATTAATTCAAATCAGTATAGGGTAATTGAAATTAGGCCTGCTAAGCAAGCTTGGTAAAGAATAATCCCATTTTCTTTGATCCTTTATCGGCACAAAGCCAGTGGCATTGGCCAAGCCTGAGAAGATATAAAATGAGGGGAGAAGGAATCTAGATGATAAGAGAAACACAATGTTGTGAATTAAGTAATCATGTAAAGCAAAAACCAACATAATATCCTGTTAGTACAATTTGTTGGCACTGACCAAACCTATAATTTTTTATGCTATTTTTTTTTGAGAATATCTTCATTGGTTCCTATCAGAAGTAAAATCCAAGACACGTGAACCAGAGAGAGAGAGTCACCATAGACTTAGTTGGTGATAGCCTTACCAAATCCCCTGTGGGAACATCTGTATCTAAGAATAACGTAAGAGATGAACCTGTAAATCAAGATGAAGCACACAGTGACACCAATATTCTTCCATCTATTACTCTCTCCCCCGTATCCTTCTTCTTCAAGCACATCCTCTCCGCTCTTTATACATGCCCCAAACATGTACTCCAAGCACTTCCCCGAGTTTGAGAACTCATTGATCAGGAACCCTTCGAAGGGATACTTAAACAAAGATATATAATGCATGAAAATCCAGTAGTTTGGAATTTCTTGCTTTGATATGAAGTACCCACTGAACAAGAAGAATGACCCTATAACACCAGCAATCACTGAATTCCCAACAATAAAATTAGGCACCAGAGCACTAAAGCACACCACAACTGAATTGGCCGTGTAAAGAATCAGCCATATCAGCAACAAAAAGTGCAAAAAGGCCAAGAAATTCCGGTTGAGACCAACAAGCCAGTACAAGGGCATTGAGAACAAAATGGCTAGGGTGAGAAGAAATGGCAAGTAAACTAGGCCATTGGCAATAGCATACGATGACACACGGTAGCTTCCACAAGATGTTTCCTTCATCAGAATCTCCCTTTCTTGCAGAAAAATTGGTAGAGCTTCTATGCTGCTTGACAACAAAAACGTTAGTATGAAAGCAAATAGACCCACCCTTTCATAAGCTCCCTCTAGATCATCCTTAAGGTTACAAAAGATGGAACCCACAACCAACCCAGAAACCAGCATCTGAATTGTCCTGCAAGCAAATAGCTCTTTTGTACGAAATATGTTCTTGGAGAACCTATGAGTGAGAATCATTGTTTCTCTCAATCTAGAATTAGCAAAATCACAAGTGAAATCCATTCCAGCATAGATGGTTTCTTCATCAATTACCTTGGATTGTTGAAACAGTTGTTGCAAAGTAAACTTTCCATTCCTACCCTCACCAGCTTCATCATCAACTTTCTTCTGTTGCATTGTCCCATGCAATTGCCTTGGAGTTTCTACCTGAACGGGCACACATTTCTGTTGTTGTTGAATGGTATCTATGGACTCAATGGCAAATTCAACTACATTGACATGAAGAGGAAGCTCCAAACCAATCAGCCTTAGATTTACTCCAAGCAACTCAGCAGTTCCATGGTGCAAAACACTTCCATTAGCCAACAACAACAATGAATTGAACAGCTTCACTATTCTGAACCCGGGTTGATGGATACTAAGGATAATAGTTCTCCCTCTTGTGTCAGCCATGACCTTAAGCATGTCAATTATTTGCAAAGCTGAAGTACTGTCAAGCCCCGAAGTTGGTTCATCAAGAATCAGCACTTTTGGATCATGTATGACTTCAACACCAATGGAAACTCTGCGCCTCTCACCACCAGATATGCCTCGGGCCCTATCATCTCCAATTCTAATGCCAGCAACGTGGTCAAGTCCAAGCTCCTTAATCAATGACTTGACCCTGGAGCAAAGTTCCTCCTGAGAAAGCTTCAGCCTCAGCTTTGCACTAAACATCAGGGTTTCTTCAACCGTAAGTAAAGGAAACAAAGTGTCCTTTTGTGTCACATACCCTGAAAGCTTCCTGAACTGAGCTTTGTCCACGGGCTTATGGTTCACCAACACAGTACCACTTTGAGGGCTATGTTTGCCAGCAAGAATCTCAAGTAATGAAGATTTGCCAGCACCACTTGGCCCAACAATTGCTAGGATCTCCCATGGTTTGGCTTGGAAGCTCACATTCTTCAAAACATGCCTTGCTCCACTGCAACTTTTTTCAGCTTCTTCTTCCTCTTCTGGATCTTTACCATCTTGTTCAGTGTCAAGTTGTGCAGATTTGCTGAAGATTTTGAAAGGGTGCTCCGAGTTGTGTGTGTGGATGGTGTAGTTGACACCAATGGCCTCAACCTCACAGCCTTGCATCTTCGTTTGAATAGGTTGCTATGCCTCCTTTTTCTGTGTTTCTCTCGGTTGCTTCTACTCTCTTCTAATTCCCAGACCCATTTTGCTCTCTTCCTCTCTGTTCTATATTCTTTTTTAAATCAGTGGTTTTGGCCTCAGCTACTGACAGTGAAACAATGTGTGGCTCCAAGGGATTTAGCTGCAATGACACTCAGCTCCTCGAACTTTGTATATAAAGTTCACGTGCACTTCTTGCTATTTCTTCACCAATTTTACATATTTGGACACAGATTCTCTTATAAATTTAAAATAACTAATAATTTAGTATAACAACTCAATATTATAATAGTATTTCTCAACAGTTACTAATGTTAGTGGATATAACATGTATTCAATAAGAATTAATATATTTTCAGAGATGATAAGTATCTTTAAAGAAAGATAATTATCGTTGATTAACGCACAAAACTGAACGTCCAACATTTTATCTCTGGTTTAGAAGCGGAACATTGAATATTCACGTGAATAATTTTGGTTTCTCGTTGTTTAATGGACAGCTATACATTAAACATAACTTGGGTGTTGTTGCCAGTTGCCAGTAGCAACTGTGAAACGAAGGATGGTAAACCAGAACTGTAAATGGTTTTGGTTTTTTGGTGCATAATTGATAGAGGTATGGAATGAGATTCGTTCTGCAACGTGCTGACATATTTTTATTTATGACAATTCAGTTTCTACCACCGTCTGTTACATAATAGTATATAGTATTTTACCTGCACCGTGATGTTTGCAAACAATTTTTTATCACTGATCTCGTGTCCACTTACACAATGATTAATCCAATTCATGCAACAATAACAGTGATATATATGTGCATATAATGGTCAAAGTTTCATGAGTTCTATATCACTGCCTCTTTATATTTGTGTTTACTTTGTCAAATTATCTACTACAAACTTAAGAACAGTGCTGAGTATATCAGAGACGGTTTATGCTTACAAGTACTGAAAATTTGCGTGTATTTTGTGAGGATTGATTACGGTACATTTATTTTTGGAACAAAAGCTATGAAGGGTTAATGATGGAATTATTGAAAAACACTTAAAAGTACATTTGGAGTTGCATGAAAGGATATTACGATTTGGGAATTACCAAAGTGGTGGACCCTTGGGTCTTCAAGTTTGTGGCTGAAATTTCATAACGCTCCACAACGAATCAAAATCTTTCATAACTGTAATTTGATAAGCCCATCGATTTTCATCTTTGTCTTTTAGTTCAAGCAATCCACTAACTACATTCAATTATCTTCTGCCATGCACAGCTTTCTCCAATTCTATCTTGAGCATACTGATAAAATAATTATCAAGAAATATACATAACCATGATATCATCTTTTCTGTCTTAACTTATAAAACTAGAAAAAAAACATCATTTTCTAACCAAATTGATCCAAAACCAACCAACCCTTATGTGAAGTTTGATGTGGTCATGTGATCAGTTAAATTAAAAAGCACAAGAATTTGTTGAATGTTGTTACAAGAAAACTTGTTAAAATTTAAGTAAGATGAAGTTGTGTGGTTGGTTCATCACAAGACAACATTTTTTTTATCTGTTACTGGTTTCTCTTAATTCACTTTAGCAAAGATTAATCACTCTCACTTACCTATCAAGCTTTTAAACGTAACAGAAATCCAACACGAAACTCTTAGAAGTCTTTTAGATTGTTGTAAGATTTATTTATTTATTTATTCAAGAAAGTTTGTCTTGATTCGAATATCTAATTCAGTGTCATAGAAGAAGCTGAAGCACCCGTGAACTCTTTCCGTGGTCAAATTGGGTACACCCTGTATCTCTTACTTGGCACTTGCCCCACCTACAACAACTCATTATTATCACATTACCACCATTTTTACTACTTTTGATTAATAACAAGAAACAAAGTCAAGTTTGATGAACAAAGTAAACTAATTAATTTAATAAAAAACTACACTTAGCTTGCCCGTGAACCCCTTCTCTTTCACTGTTCAATTATTGAAGAGGGCACTCCTCACCACACAATAAAACTCTGCACCACTAAAGTCCAATCCATTCCAAGTGACTTTATGATATTGGATTTTCATTTAATTTATGTTGAATTAGTCAAGGAATAAGGATGTTTGCTTATTATAAGCTAATGGGTTGAATCACTTTAACTATTGCTGTTATTATTTTGATCATGTGTCCTTTTCTTTTTCCTTAGCCTTCTTCATGAGAAGAGAAGATGCTCTGTTATGGCCTCTTCTTTTTGTCTTTGCTGATCACAGTTTTATGCTTCTACCAATGCTTTTCGATGCGACCCTGCATATAATACACTGTGATTTCCCTTCTTCGACACAGGATCCGATCTTAATTCCAAGAACAAGAAAATGTTTCTGATTAATGCATTCTGTCTTTTGTTGCTTAGTGAAACATTTTTATAACAGTAAACTATGAACACCTTTCATAATCAATCGTCTGAAATTGTTTTAACCCCACTAAGCCTTCTCTTTATATTTTACAATTTTCTTTCATTTAAATATAGAGGGTTCCAATTCCTCACTGAAATTCCTTATCTTTAGAGAGGTTAGTTGAAGACGTTCTTGGAGGGTAAAACTGATAAAATATTTATCTGTGTTTCCAATGTTGAGTCTTTTTCTTAGTCATGTCTTTTCTATCATCATGACTCGAACTGAGAATGGTTGTAGTGATTTATTTAAACATTATGAGTATGAATGAAGCATTTAATGAGTTAAGAATGTCACAGAATCCTCCACTGGCAAAATGGTGTAGGTTGGTTTTGGTGGTAGAGTCACTTAAACTAGTTGGTCACATAATTGAGTTTGAGGTTCTCAACTCAACACATAACAAGACAGAGCAAATCAAGGGCCAACCAGAGGCACAGCAAGAGACATAACCCACAAGAACCACATGGCAGACTTTATACAAACTAAAATTGAACACAACACACCAAAAAATTGAACACTACACACCAATTCAGAAGACAAATTGTCTTGAATGATTGAACAGAGGATTTGCTTTAAAGACTAGATCTGGGGATACCCTTATGTTTTTTACCATGATATGTATGATATTTTGTTTATTTTTTTGGATAACATAAAAGAAAAATGTAAAATCAAATATATTATTTGTCAAAGAAGTAAATATTGCAAGAGGATTCAAAACTTGTTCAAAGATAGACATTGGTGGTGAAGCTATTTATCAGTCTTAGAAGCATATCTAATATATAATTAGGTACTTTGTTTAAAAAAAATTAAGAAAAAAAATCCCCTTTTTAATAAAATAATTAGTTATTAGAAATTTTACATTATTGAATAAACTTAGTTAAAAGGCATTAGAAAAAAAAATACATTATTTTAGAAACAACAGCTTTTTATATATTTTTAAAATCGATTTGTTCATTGAGTTATGATTCAACTGGTGTCAAACTGCTAGCAATAATATTGTTTTAATAATTCAAAATATACAAAATAATAGTAAAAAAATATAATATTATAACTTTATTATGCTAAAAACTAAAATAAAACATAAATTTATAGGTTTTTAAGATTTAAAATAAAAATAAATATTTAAATAAAATATATTATCATATTTAAGTTGAAATTTTAGTAATATATATCAATATTTAGTATTAACAATAAGTTTATATATAATAAAAAAGAAAATAAAAATATTTAAGGTTATTTTGAAATTTTGTTTTTATAGATGCTTTGGATTCAGAATTAGAATACAACAAATGGCTAATGCTCGTACACAAACAAACTAGCTTATTATGCTGTTTAGAAGATGAAAAGGGTTTAATTAAAAAAAAAGATGAAAAATGTTTAAATTACTAACGTATTGAACTCTTTTTCTTTCAAATTTAGAGTAAAATCTAAAGTATAATTTTTTGAGTTTTTCTGAGTAACGATGTTGAGTTTTTTTTTTTTTCATAGTGATGCATGATGAATTAGATGTGTAATATATAATAAAAATGTTTTTTATTATAAAAACACTTTTAATATTTTTTTATTATTTTTATTCCTTGATAATTGATCTTATCCTTAAAAAAACTTGTCTTTAGAAAGGATGTTTAGTAGAAAGGTTGGTTTTTTAATTTTTTTTTAATAATCTTTTGTTTAGAATGATAACTTTATATATTATTTTTTAAAATATTGAAATATTTTCAGAAATGATTTTTAAATCAAGTATCTTAACAAACTTTATCACCCTGGTGGTGAAGATAAAGTTAAAAAATCCTATGAAAATGGGAGTTATTTTTTTTCCGATTTATAGTAAAATACTAATATTTTCAAAAATCCTTCAAACACACCAAACACATTAATAATATTCTCATAAGCATAATTGAGAAACAAAATTTAAAAAATTCAGAAAATTATATTTATAAAATGTCCCATATATATATATATATATATATATATAACTTGATTTTAAATTAATTATTTTAGATAGTATCTTTAAAGGAAGGAAGGGAAATGATTAAAATTCCTAAAACTAACTTCTTTTTTCATTTTTTTATATTTTATTAATTTAAGAAACTAGTTTTTTGGAAACTCTATTTATCCATTTTTTAAGGAAAATTAAATAAAATATATTTGAGGATCCTTTATAAAAATTAACTTACTAAGATATTGAATAATCTTTATTATATAATAACTTATGTTATAAATATTGAAAATTCAACAAGTTATTTTTGTTTTAATATACATGTTGATAAACGAGTAAAAAATTTAAATGTGTTTGGTTTGCTGCATTCTTACATAAGTATGTTGTTTCATTAAAAAATTGAAATACAAATAAATTAAAAAGAAAACTAAATAACCAATATACTAACATTACACATGACAGAACTAAACTTGTTAAAAAATATCAATAATCAATATACTAACACACGTAATATAAATAAATGAATAAAATCCATTATAAAAATCAACCATTGCACACTAGAATGAAAATATAATGAAGTAATAATGACATATAAAAATATGAATTTATTTAATTAATTATATTTTGTAACATTAAAAAACACTTGAAACTAACAAACAAATTTTTAGTGAATAACAAGTAACCCTATGAAATAATAATGGTTTTAGTACGATTAGTGAAGATAAAGATAATATATATATATATATATTTTTTTTTTTTTCTCTTTTTCACGGGAACTCTAGACTCTAAAACCTATAATAACTAAAACATAAAAATTCGGGTATAAAAATTCACTTTATGATTTTTGAAACAAGCACCCACGGTTAATCATTTCAATAGATTTTGAAAAGTTGTAATTAACAGGAAGAATCAGTGAAATATATCTCTTAAAATAATTTTTTTTGGTTACTTTCTACTATTTTAACCTCAAACTATTTGAAATTTGAAAATTTCCAATTTATTTATAAATAGATGATATTTTCATTTTATTGTAAACTATTAATTATTTTTTAAAAATTTATTTTACAATGTAATAAGTTAATTATTTAAGAATTATAATTCACAATTTTTCAGCGTATTAACCGATATGGCGCTGTTATCTATCCAAGTTTGTGATAACTGATAACTGATAACATGGTGAACTTCTCTCCATCATCCATGCACCTTCACAAGCTTACTCGCACTTCTCCTTCCTTCGGTACTATTCTTCCTTCCTTTCATACACACACTATCGCATGAACTTCTACTTCAATTTTCAATACAATTACTTTTCATTCATTTTACCACTTTTTTTAACACAATTTGCTAAAACGAGGGTTTTTTTACGTATCATAAGACCCTTTTTTGCACTGTGTGTGATGCCGATTATGCTGGGGGATTGGGATTTAGGATTGTCAAAATTGGAACTAAAATATTTGTAAGAATGTGCTTGCATAGCAGGGAGTGCGTTCTTTCTGGTGGGTCATCGTGTTTTGGACATAAGAGTGCGTAATGGTTGTTTATTCCGCAAGAATCGGAGATGTTTCGGAGCGTCCATTTCGTGTTCGGGTGTTGGGAACGATTTGCCTTCTATTGAACAGCTGAGTGATGCACGGGTCATATACTCTGTCGCTCCATCTATGGGACACAATCAGGTATATGATTCCAACTTTGTATCTCGGTTGAAAGGAAGTTCATGTAACTATTCGACTCTTTGTGGTTCTTATGGTTTGTTTGGATGAGAGAAAATAATACAGAAAGGAGAAAAAAATACGGATAGCAATGCGTCTTCTTTTATTTGGTTGGAAAAAAATGGGGAGAACTCTCATTTAATTTTCTCTTGAATTCAAATTTCAGATTTTTTCCCCTTCCTTGGGATAGAGTTTGAGCATCTTTAGATAAACTTTTCCATTGGTATGTAAGGAAGAAGAAAATTAAAAAAAAAATGTATTGACTTTTTCTATAAGCTAAATTTAACTATGTTCCTTAGTTTTTGTATACGAAAATGGAAGTAGTTTTTGTAAAAGTTAGATGCGTAAGTTCATTTTAACTTATACACTCAACTGGTTTTAACTTAAACTTAGTTTGAAATTTTTTCTTCTTCTTTTAGTTCAAGCATGTTCTTATTTTAAACTTAAACTTGTTAGTCGAGGGATTGTGTACTTGTGTTCCAGTGTAATATGTGCTGCTGTTTTACACTTATTCTGTTTTCTTCTTCGGTTAGAAACACCAGAAGAGATTATATGTGCTGTCACTCGCCACTATCTCTGAAAGTGCTGTCACTTGCCACTATCCCTGAATTCATCGCATCGACATGATTGTAATTTGGATTTACTATTTTTTACAGGAGTCCCATCCAGAATCACATTTTCGAGTTCCTGCAATTGTGAATGCTCTAGAAGAAATGCAGCTCTCTTCAAAGGTACTAAAAGCTATGGACATTGTGCTTTGGAATTTTTGCCTTTGTCATCTGTTTATGTCTCGGTGACATATTCTTTTAAAAGATTTGATATCATATAGATATTGTTATTTGACAACTTGTGTCTGAAATTCAGAAAATAAACAAGAAGTCTCTTTCATTCAATTCTTGCTTTTGTTCAATGTGTGTTTGATACTTTGGTTCGGTTTATATATTGTTTTTAGAGACTATTCTGTGATCAGTTTTAAAAACTAATTTTTAGATGGTAGGAATAGGGGAAGAAGATGACAGAGTATTGTGAGAAAGAAGACATAAATGTTCTGTGCTTTTATAAAAGCTGAAGAATAGGTATTACCTTCGAAAACAATTTACAAAACAATTATAAATGAGTTTTTCTAAATACCAAGAGTAGGAAACAAATAAACACTAAATGAATTATATTTCTTTTTCTGGGTACAAAAGTAGGCGGCATCTTATTCTCAAGAATATATTACAACCTAATTTTGTTAACGTTTCCTATTTGATTGAAACACAAAGGGCCTAGGCAATCTGTGGCTATAGGGTTTGTGCACATGGGTCGGCTAGAAAAAGCTTGCAAATTTAAGAAAAAGACTGACTTAACTGGATGATAATGTGGAATTGTCCTAAATTTTCCATTCTAGTATAGTGGCGTTAAATAGTAATGTATTTTAATTTTCACAACTTCATTTTATGTATGATTCAGTTCCGTGGCTCTGAGTTAATTGAACTTCAACATTTTGAGCCTGCTTCTGTAGATGATATTGCAAGCGTGCATGAAAGAGCCTATGTTTCTGGACTTGAAAAGGTAAATTTTTTTTTGGGTTTTTGGATAGAAACCTGATATCTTATCACGAAGAAAAGGGGGATAAACTCACAACTCCATGATTACAAAGTATAGAACTACCTTGATGTGTGCTTTACTTTAGTTGAATGCACAATGCTAATAAAACATCAAACAAGGATTGCTGCTCCACACTAAATTGTTCACTGGGCATTTATACTTAAATAGATGTTTACTAATGTCTTCTGAATTTGATCAGTCCAATCTCCAGTATCATAGTTTTTAGTTCAAGTTTTCACCATCACTGGCCATGTTGTATCATTTCATAATTTGTATGGTATTTGATGTTACCTTGGCACTGAAAATTTTTGCTCTGAAATTTGTCATATTTACACTTCTCAATCTTTATAGGTTATGAATCAAGCTGTGGAGAAGGGCCTTATTTTAGTTGAAGGTTCTGGACCAACGTATGCCACTGCCACTGTAAGTGCTATGCCAAGAGCTATATTATTCTTTCCCAAGCTCATATATTTTGCTAGAAGTCATTCTACGCTACAAACAATACATTTTAGTTCATTGTGATTGCAAATACTTGGAAAATATGATAGATATTGTGTTTTCTGCATTCTTATGGTGGTGTCCATGATACAGACCTTTCAGGAGTCAATAATTGCAGCTGGTGCTGGATTAGCCTTAGTTGACTCAGTGGTGATCTCTCAACCTGGCATGTCCATCTCTTGGTAATAATCTGTGTGTTTTGGGGAGGGGTAAGTGAGTGGATATGGATATGTCCATACCTGCTTCTTCTAGTGACTTGCATAATGAAATGACTATTTTGTTCTTTGTTGGAATTTAATCTTTGTTTTAGCGGAACCAAATATTACCAATCTTGCATATACCTAGCTTGTATGTTAAATGTTTGAGGGAGGTGGGGATTCACAAATATAACAATTTTGGAAATCAATTGTGATCTTTATCAGCTTTGGTAGTTCCCAATATATTTTAAGTTGTTAGAGATAAAAGAAAAATCATTCTCGAGTCCCACTTTCAGGCTTAAGCTTTTGGAAACATGGTATCAAGGCCTGTATGACCAAATGATCTATATTTTGATCATTGTCATTCTTCATGATTAAGTTCAATTTCCGTACTACAAAACTAGTTTGATAAGGCAATAATTATACTTATATATTAGAATATTATCATATCTCTAGTCGATTCGATATTTAATCACATTGTCTATGCTTCAAGTGAGCTTTTGCATGAGGGGTTTGTTAGAGAGAGATATGAAAATCCCGGTCCTCCAACTAATATAGTTAAGGCTTTTGGAATAGTTAGTCTTGGACATAAATGTTTCAAGAAATATAGTGAACTAGGGATATATTTCTGATTTGGATATAAAATTCACTTGTTTAATTTCATATTCAGGTTGCAGGTTCAAAGATAAAGAGTGATGCACCCACTGGTTTTGCTCTGATTAGACCACCAGGACATCATGCTGTTCCACAAGGACCTATGGGCTTCTGCATTTTTGGCAATGTGGCCATTGCAGCCCGTCATGCTCAGCGTGTTCATGGACTGAAGCGCGTGTTTATAATTGATTTTGATGTGCATCATGGGAATGGAACAAATGATGCTTTCTATAATGATCCAGATGTATTTTTCCTTTCGTTTCATCAAGTAAGCTTCTAACTTAGTTCCAGCCTGGTTCTATTTATTTGTGCTTCGTTGATTTTTGTTGGAATCAATATAGGTTGAGTGTAGTTGTATTAAAAAGCTGTTATGTTGTACCTATGAGTTGTGTACCTATCTCTGTACATAGATTTCTAACTCAGACTTTAGTCCTTTGATCTTCCCTCTACTATATTGTATTTGTTTTTTATCATTATAAAGAAGGAATCCATGAGAGGTATGATTAAACCATCTAAAACATATTTTTTCTCTTTTATTTACTCTTGCGTATTTTGAATTGTCACCTATGTTCAATTATTCTCATTTCTTTTTCCAACTTTAGATTAATGATGTTTTAGAAGTCATAATAGCAAGGTTATCTTCCTTTTGTATATGCTAAGACTCTTGAAATTTTACATCTCTATCAAATTAAAAAATTTAGATTATTTTCATAATTCTATTTTATTTTAGTTAGAGCTGATGTGTGGTAGAGGGAAAGATGACTTTTGTATGACGAAATGTTTTGACTTTTATTCTGGAATCTGGATGCTCATGGGAAAGTTTTATACTTATATATTGCCGCCGATCATATTTTTTAATCACTGGAAACATTCTTATTCAGCATTGTTATATATTAAAAGCATTTTACAAGTAACTACTTTATCAGTGCTATTCTGCTGTTTAATATCCATTCTCTTGTCTGTCTCTTTGTAGATTCAACACCACATTGCCATCTCTGGTGGATATGGTTTCTTTACCTTTCCCCCATCTATTGTGCCCGTTATAGTTCCTTTTACCATATCAATGTACTGCAATTGCAGAACATTGCTTATGTATGTTGCATTTCAATGGTATCAAGTTCTTCTCAGTGCTAACTTTGAAATTGAAGCCATGGCCCAACTGTTTTAGTATCTGATGCTATTCCTTCTGATTGATGGGATTAATATAACATCCATAATTTTATTCTTGACTTAACTGAAATTATTCCTTAATTTGTTGTTGGTGTAACTGCAATGCCTCCCTGATCTTTGATTTAAGCATATTATCTCCTAACTTACTAGTGTGCTTTGCATATTGTTATTTTCTCTGCTGGAATATATTTACATAGCTGGACAAATAAATTAGCTAAGAATTTACTGATTAATTACTAAAGATTTGATCAAATACCTTAACGTCCCCTTTCTTTACACTAAGTACCCACAAATTTGCATGCAATATCACTTGGATAAAAGTCAAACAGACTACCACCTAGCCTTTATTTGCACATTTCAACATACAATATGATAAAGCAATGGGCCATTAGGCACATGGAAGTTTTTCTTAAGTGACCCCGTGGTGGGGGGTATATAGGTAATGTGTCATTATTTGAACGAAGATAAGAAATAGTACAAGACTTCTTAATTTGCTAAAATATAAAGAAAAGTATGACTTTGAGCCTTGGTATATCTAATGACTTCCGTGGCTCAGGATGGAAGCTACCCAGGTACTGGTAAATTTGATGAAGTGGGAAGTGGAGACGGTGAAGGAACCACATTAAATCTGCCTCTTCCTGGAGGCTCAGGCGATACTGCTATTAGAACCGTGTTCGATGAAGTTATTGCACCATGTGCTCAAAGATTTAAACCAGACATCATTCTTGTTTCTGCTGGGTGAGTCTTTCTCTGAAACATCCTCATTAATGGAAATACGGAATAAACGCCGAATCAATTTTAGCATTCCAGAATACCTGATAAATATTTAGCTCCCAAGCCCCCCTTCCAAACTTAATTCTACTATGAAATTTGGATTGTTTCTAATACAATATGAAAATGAAAGGCTTCTTCATATAAATTGTCACCTATCGCATTTTTACTTGTGGAATTTCGTGTTCATTTGTTAGGTATGATGGCCACGTGTTGGATCCACTAGCTAATCTTCAATATACGACTGGAACATATTACATGCTAGCGTCCAGTATTAAACAATTAGCCAGAGATTTATGTGGAGGGCGATGTGTGTTTTTCTTGGAAGGAGGATATAATCTGAAGTCTCTGTCATATTCCGTGGCAGACACATTCCGTGCTCTTCTTGGTGATCGAAGCTTGGCATCTGAGTTTGATGACCCTAACGTTTTGTACGAAGAGCCATCTACAAAAGTTAAGCAAGCAATTCAGAGGATAAAACACATTCATTCCCTGTGATGTCGAAATCAGAAACTGACATGACAAGTATCTATCATCAGTATTAATAATTTCATATTCTGTGGGTTTCATCCATAAGTGTATGTCTTTACCCCCTTAGGTGGGTCTTTCCTCCACTTATCACATAGAACCAAAAAAATGGTACAGAATTGCTTGTGGTCTTTGAACAATGTCCAGTTACAGGTACTACACGTCGTGCAACGATATTGATAATGTAGTCATAACCATCACTATATACCAAGAATAAACCCTTATTTTATATATCACATCATTGAGGATTGCAAGCTATACAATTTTTAACATATTAGTCTCACCAAATTGTGAGCCTCAATTTTCAGTGAGTCTTACGTAGATTTTACTCAACAATAACAGCTATATGCATTGAGGATCACAAGGAACTGACAAACATATTACTTGTGGGAGACACTGCATACTGCGACTAGTAGAATTAAGTTATGTTTGGGAATCTGGTGGTGGGGGCCAAAAGTACGTTGGTGGAAGGAGCTAAAGTCATCTTTTGAGTCAAAAGTACCTTCCGATCGTTTTGAACGAGTTTCTAAACATGCACTAGCACGCCACGTGCTATATGTATTTATTAAATGGTCATCATTATATATCAATCAGTTTCATATTTTTTAATTTATGTTTTTAATTACTATTTTAAAGATACTTATTAGAGGTCTTCATAAAAATATAATCGAAATAATATACCAAAAGGGTCCTTTGACATTTGATATCTATTTATCCTTTTATTCGCCATGCATTATGGATTATTCGACGTAAAAGGTTGGCATTGAAGAAAAATTATTAATATATATAATATAATATTAAAACACATCATGAAATAAGTTGTCATTTTCCGAAAAGGTTGACTTTCAATAAGTTGTCATTTTTCTTCTATGTTTATTGTGCTACAAAATTTTGGTCTAGGTTAAGTTTTTGTTCCATGATTTTTGTTAATGATGTACATTCGGTTCTAAATATTGAAGGATAATTGGTGTACTCTTGTGAACTTGGTTCTGTTGTGGATTTTTATTCTATATATATTAGCTGCTAATATTGTTCAGTGGAAATAGGATTTTGTTTTCAGAATAAAACAATAGGAATTATGCAGATACGGTTGCATCTTTACGTGATTTTAGTATGAAATTCAATGTTAAGCTTTTCAGTACTTTTCAGTGATTGAGAGTCTCAAATCACATAAAAGTCAAATTCGAAATAATTTATATATATATATATATATATATATTTTAATTTATTTTATTGATATATTTTAAAAATAAAATTATAACTAATAAAATTTTTAAAATAAATAATAACTCAGATATAAAGGAATGTTGCAAGAATATTGAGATTGATTAGAGTTTAGAAAATTAACAAATATCTTTTTTATTTATATTTATTTAAATATTTTGAAAAGTATAAATAAAAGAAGAAATTCATACCCTTTAATAGATTCACTCAAATTAGTTGAAATCTAATGTAATTTGCATATATATGACACCAATAAATACCTAACCAGTTAATCTCCAACAATAAAACTTGAACATCAAGATTTCTTGTATTATTGAACACTGTAAACATTGTGTGAATATTCCAAAACGATAGAGATTGATAGATGAGAAAATTAAACAAGCCATCTAAGAAGTTACCCAATTGGTGGGTTGGTGATGATAAAGTAAACAGCAAACCCTCTTGGTCAAAATTGAAATGGTGACAGAAGGTGAAAAATTTGAAGCTTTTCATGTACACATTACGAAGCAGAACTTCCACTGTTCCCCTGAAATATTAATCTACATTCACACATAAACGGTTTCTATTTCTTGGGCATGGTTAAGATAGAATCAGAGTTGAATAAAACACTTGTTTATGAACCAACATGGTGGCAGGAAAAGGTGTGTGACCTACCAACCACTGCATGACGCAAGATCCCATAAAGTTTTATCCTTTAGTGAAGCGTAATGATGGTTAATGAATCAGATACTAAGAGCCATAAAAACATCCACTACATACAAAGCAACAAAATTATTTGTGTTTGTTATATTTGTCTCACAGAGTAGTATACCAGACTAACGTTAATCTGATAGAACCCATGTTGCTAAAAATAGACACGGGAATCAAATTAAGGTGGTGGTGGAAGGAAGAACACAAGAATAGGACTTATGCTAATATAATTAGTGGGTGTAGCTGGCAGAACTTACCAAAGGTGTTTCTTTTCATAATTAAGAAGCGGAAAATAAGGGGAGAAAAATGAAGAAAGGGACTTTATTTTTAAATGTGATGTACGAAATGGTGTATGAATGAAGATGTGAACAGGTAGAGAAACCAAATCCAATTAATGCCTCTAATTAAGCATTCAGAGTCTTTAATTAGCACGTAAATTAATCCTCCTCTAACGGTGCAAATTGCAATAATTAAAAATTCAAATGGGTTGCCTTTAATATTTTAATGATTTTATCTTTAGGGTGTGAGTATGAACTGCCGTAACACTTTGTCCATCCATGGCTAGGGTTAAAATGATTCATGCCTGGGTGAAGGTGAGCAAGAACACTTATGACACATGCTATTCAAACCATGTAAAGAACCCATTTTCATATCTCATTGGCCCACCATTCACCATATACTAGTGCTTACTACATAATTATAATTAAAGCTCCACATTAATTACCATATTCATGCCCATCTTTATCCACTTCTCAATTATTTATACCATGTTTAATTCTAGTTATTTTACAAGGTTTATTACTTTTGATGTTTTTTATTTTATTTTATTTTATTGCAATGTTGCATTTTTCTCTCTATTTATATCATTTTATTGGATGATTGATGATTCAACTTGGGATATGGATTAGTTTGCGTTTTGAAAAAAAAAAAAAAAACTTAAAAAGTTTACTTCAACTCAAACTGATTAACATTAATCAATCTAAATATCTCCACTAGAATCAACCCAACCCACTCGTGTCCAACCTTGATTAGCTGACAATGAATGAGTAAAAGGTTGTTGTGCAGTAAATAGCATCTAGTTTTTATGGAGGTTAAATTCAAAAATTACTTTTTTACACAATGGTTCAATAAACAAGTCAAAAAGTAAAGCCGAAATTATATGCACTTGAAACTCCAACTTTGACTCGTCCCACTATTTATTAGGAATATTCACTTTTCAAATTATAGGAACATCTTTCTAGATAGAGTAATTGTCATCACAATCTTGTCATCCATGGAAGTAGCACTAGCAAAACATGTAGATCCAAATCAATGGTGCGATCGATGATCAAATCTTTACCTTAAAACATAAAACAAAATATGAAACCACATTCCCTATGTTCAAATATTGTGCATTGAGAATAGATTAAGTTACCTATTGGTGATGGATTATGGTAGCAAGTGGGAGGAAACTAGAATTGACAGTTAAAAAAAAAGGGGGAAACATGAATCATGCAGATAAGGCAGGTCTTAAAATTCCCATAGTGCTTATCCTTGCTAACTCAAATAATTATGCACAATAATTTGATGTTAAATTATCACTCACAAACACAACACAACTTCCTTTGTTTGCTATTTTCTATCCTATTTTCTTGACCCTACTTCATTTCTGTGGTGGTATTCCACACAACGCCGACTTTCTTCTTGAAACTCGATTCTTTTTCTGAATCATAATCAGCCAAAATCTCTTTCTCTCTCTTCCTTACTTTAATTAACAATATATAGTATACACTTTGGCAAACTTGACCTAAGTGTTAAAGTCCTCCACATAGACTAAAATAACCAAATGATGGCTTGTGGAAGTGTCAACCTTCCTCCTGGCTTTTGCTTCTCTCCAACGGATGAAGAACTTGTTCTTCATTTTCTTTATCCCAAGGCCTCTCTACCATGCCATCCCAACATCATTCCTGAGCTTGACCTCTCTCTGCATGATCCATGGGAGTTAAATGGTATGTCTCTACTTCACTGCTTGATTGGTGTTCAATTTTTCAACATGTAAGGATCACATGCATGCATGTATGGATCAACTACATATGTAGTTGATTGAACAAACATGAATACTGAATAACGTGTGCGAGTTGCTTTGAACTTCTGAGAGAAGTTTCATTCATTCGTTCATTCTTTTTACTAAAATAAGCAAAACTACATGACCCAAAAAATAAAAGAAATCATACATGTACATGTACTATTTATATTTGTAAATTTATATATTTAGGTAAAGCGTTATCAAGTGGAAATCAACACTATTTCTTCACCAGAGTGAAGGAAAACAGATCCACAGAAAATGGGTATTGGAAGGAAATAGGAGTTACAGAGCCAATAGTATCTGCATCTGAAAAAGTGGGGATGAAGAAGTCCCTTGTGTTCAACCTTGGTGAAGCTCCACAAGGCACTGAAACCAGTTGGGTCATGCATGAGTATCATATCTGCTCATCCAGTTTTAGCACTGGATCTTGTGGAAGTACTCGCGGAAGAAGAAAATCAGTAAGTGATTAATTATTAATCAATAATATATTAGTTTATATACATATATACACTCGACATGGTAAATTGAAGAACCATTCATTAATTTATGCTGATTAGTTTTCTGATGTTGTGCAATACAGAATCAATGTAGGAGCAAATGGGTTTTGTGCAAAGCCTATGAAAAGAAAAGTTCTCAATCCCAACAAGGTGTAAGTTCTTACAGCGATGAGAATGACAGTGGAACTGAGCTTTCATGGCTAGACGAATTTTACATGTCGTTAGATGATGATCTTGAAGAAGTTATGAGCCATCCTAATTAGATTAAAATTTTGAATAACATATATTTAATAGGATTTTAAGTTAGAATTATATATATATATATATATATATATATATATATATATATATATATATATAATTACATTTGTATTTTGAATGGCAGATGAGGGATTCTCTAGTTAATTAGGTAATGGCCTTTTTGTTGTCACTTTTCAAACGTCCTTATGCACCAAACAGGATATACTTTGCTTGTGAAATGCAGCTTACATAAGCTTTGTATCTTTTCCTTTCAAACTGCTTTTCCATACAAAGACTTTCTACACACACACACATATATATATATATATATATGACATACGTGGGTCCAACCACTGGCCCCTCTATTATAAGTAAGGCTTGTCTTTTTTTTATTTGACAGAGAAAAATGCATTTTCCATTGTCCCATAAAGAAGAAAGAAAGGTGGCAATGGCATATTTGGGCTAGAATGCATTCATCCATCTTGTTATTCTATCTTAAAATAATTTGAATTAGAACTCGTTATTCAATTTAATTAAAATAAATTAGATTAGATATTTAATAAAACATATGTTTTTTTCTACCAAATTCAAACATGATGTATTTGATTAAATTATATATTTAAAAATTACAGTGAAAGTAACAAAATTAAATTAAAAACCAGTACCCTTTGTACCTATAACAAAAAATTATCGAAACAATTATGCAATAAGATTATAAAACATATGTAGTTCTAGAATATGAAACTGGGTGAAAGAGCCAGTTGATTTTGTTTCTTTTTCATTCTTTTGGGGCAAAGATTGAGGCTTAATTACCCTTTTAGATTTCCTGTGAGAAGAGAGAAAACATCTCAATCACATTGGTATGCTGGTTCGTCAGATTTTAACCGAAGGTAATGACCCCCTACTCACATAGGTACTGTGCATTGTATACATAATGCAAGCAAGCAACTATGGGCTGTTAAATCCAGAGAGAAAGAGTTTTGATTTCGTAGGTCCCTTAATGCAAGAGATCCTATGCTTTTTCTTCCATTATTAACATTCATGTTGCAATCTCACGAAGGCTACATCTCCTCTTACATGGTTACTATGTAATCTACATCTCATCCTTCTAATCCAATCATAACCATAAAACACAGGCCATAAATAACATGCTAACTTTCCCTACCAAATCACTTCCAAAACGCAATGGCTGCAGTGTTCTGGGTGTTAGCTTTAGCTAGTCTTAGCTACCCGCTAACCACAATCAATGCCCAAACACCAACAACCCCCTCCAAGGTGCAACCTTCAACCCCAAATACACCTTCTACATTGCCAAAAACAACCCCAGATGCACCTTCTACACTGCCAACCACAACTCCAACTGCACCATCAGTAACCAAACAGCAACCTGTTGTTGCTGCAACTCCTGCCACTTCGAAGAAACCATCAGCAGCAACTTCTCCCGCTTCAACTAGCAAGCCAACACCAACAACCACAACTTCACCCCCCAGATTGCCAAATGCAGCTTCCCCCACTTCTGCCACAAAACCACCCATTGTCATAGTAACCCCTCTTCCCTCAAGGAAACCACCGGTAGCAACCTCTCCCACTTCTAGTAAATCACCAGTTCCAAAGGTTGCGTCTCCAACATCATTTGCACCTGTGAAATCACCAATTCCTAAGGTTTCATCTCCAACTGTGAAATCACCAGTCCCCAAGACTACATCCCCAACATCATTTGCTCCTGTGAAATCACCAGTTCCCAAAGCTACATCTCCAACATCATCTGTTCCTGTGAGATCCCCAGTTCCCAAATTCACATCTCCAACATCTGCTCCTGTAAAATCACCAGTTCCAAAAGCTACATCTCCAACATCTGCTCCTGTGAAACAGCCAGTTCCAAAAACTACATCTGCACCTGTGAAACAGCCAGTTCCAAAAACTACATCTGCACCTTTGAAACAACCAGTTCCAAAAACTTCATCTCCAACATCTGCTCCTGTGAAGTCACCAATTCCAAAAGCTACATCTCCAACATCTGCTCCTGTGAAATTACCTTATCCCAAGCCTTTACCACCAACCTCCACTCCGGTGAAGCCCCCAGTTCCCAAAACTACACCTCCAAAAATAGCTCCAGTGAAACCACCCGTTCCAAAAACAACACCTCCAAAAATAGCACCGGTGAAGCCACCTGTTCCCAAGATTACACCAGCATTAAGTCCAAAACCCCCATCCCCCAAAATCCCACCTCCACAACCACCCAAAAAAGCACCTATTTCACCACCTCCACTGCCATTACCACCAGCTGATTCACCACTATTGCCTACTCCAAAAGTATCCCCAACACCAGTCGAAGCACCAGCACCTGCACACAAAAAGAAAGCACCAAAACCATCACCTGTTCCTTCACCACTAAGTAACACGCCAACACCTGCACCAACGCCTTCGATTGAAACACCAACACCCGAAGATGACACGCCAGAACCTCCTCCCCACAGGCACAGGAGAAGTAGACACAAGCGCAAGCACAAGAAACACCATTCACAATCTCTGGCTCCTGCACCAACTATTATTCGGAGGAGTCCCCCAGCACCACTTGTTGAAGATATTACCACAACCAAGTCAGAAGAGACGCCAGCACCTGCACCAAGTCCCAATGCGGTAATCTATAATATCTTTCAACGCTCAAATTTTTGTATTGAAGTCCCAAACAGTTTTAACCATGTCTAATGCATCTCACGTTTTTCATTTTTCCTTACAGAATGGTTCACAATCATATTATAGGCAAGGGAATACATGGCCAAGTGTTGGACTCGCCATTGCCATTTTGTTATCTGTCATCACATGACAATTTCAAAGTCTAATATGAAGAACATGGATTCACTCAAAGCGGTGGTGTGGTTCGCAGAACGTATAAAATCAGTTAAATGTATGAACCTGAATAAAGCAATGTTGTATCCACATATTATTTTTTTTTACATTGTTAATTATGTGTCTAAATGTTTTCTTTGCTCAAAAATATATATACAATGATACGAGTTTTTGAATTATTGGAACAATCAAGCACTACTAAGCAGAATGCTAAGTGTCTATATATCGTCCATTAACTTTGGTCAATTCTGAATGTGTGATTTTTTTCTCGAAAATGTTGTACTTGGTAATACTTCCCAATGTTGATATCATGCATGAATTTGTGAAAAATAAAAGATTAAAGTTTTTTATATATTATAAATTTGGATAATATTTTTTAATCAAAATATTTTTTTAGGTAATTAGAGTCTAATACACCCCAAGTATTTTGAACACTTTATGAATATGAGTGGAAGCGTACACAATGCTTGAGATAATAATTGAAATCTATAATACATAAATAGTACTTGATACCGATATACACTTGTCACTATTCACACCAACAAAATAAATAAAGAAATTATACACCAGAATTTTTACGTAAAAAACCCAATAAAGGAACAACTACGAGACAATCTCCGAATATAATACACTATATTAAAGGATATTGCAATACCCTATTTGTACCCTTTTTATTAAAAGGTACCCAATATAGTGTATGCTAGTAAGACCCTATTCTACTACAACTGTAATATTACAGAGCATTAGAGAGTATACATCTCAAGTGTAATTCCCAATGTATCCACACAACACTCTTGAAATTTCTCACAACTCTCTAGTTTTTCTCTCACTATGCGAAACACTTTGTTTGTGCTTGTTATGCCTTCGGCCAATGCAATGAAGCCTATTTATAGGCAACTCAATGCTCTTAATACATGTGAATACATTTATAGCTTACCATCCATTTTCACCATAGCTAGCTTGTAGCCTCCATTTAGGCACCAAAAATTGCTTGTCTTTGTTGACAATTATATGAGGGAAAGAAAAATATTCCCTCTTATGTTGAAATGCAAGCCACATGTTCTCACAATTTTTACTTGTTCTTCATTCATTTAAATCAAGATTTTTGTTTAGTTAACTAGTTTAGTTTCACTCGTGAACATGTTTAACTGACTTTATGTTTACAACAACTTTTATTTGTGTATTGGTTGAGTTAAACATTTTAGTTTCTATTACTAATTAATAATCATTCTTGATTAGTGCTATAGTTTGTTATTTTCAATTCTAGATAACACTACAAGAATTTTACATATTAGTTATGACACATTCTGTAGCTATTTTATAACTAATTTCTTCCTGGTACATTTTGCTACAAAATAGCTATAAAATATTTCATCGCTAAATCCAAGTAGCTAATTAGATAAAGATACATTCTCACTCAAATTTATAGCAAGTTTTATCGTCAATCTGTCGTTAAATCCCTCGCTAATTTAAGTGATGAAATTTTGTCTTTCTCTAGCTAATTGATCTCCTAAATTTCAAGTTAACTTGTAGCTAATCCCTCTCAAATTTTCTCTCGCTAATCCGTAATTAATCCTTCACAATTTTTCTCTCACTAATCTCTCACAATTTCGCTCTTGCTAATTCGTAGCTAATTCCTCGCAATATTTCTATCGCTAATCTGTAGCTAATTCCTGACAATTTACCTCTAGCTGATCTAGAGTTAATTCCTCACAATTCTTTCCTCGTTAATCCGTAACTAATCCATCGCAATGTTTCTCTCGCTATTTCGTAGTTAATCCCTCACAATTATTTGTCGCTACTATATATTAAAATTATTCTCTCGTTAATCCGTAGCTAATCTCTCACAATTTTATTTGCAAGTAATTTGCTAATTATTATTATTATTGGCGTAGTAGATATTCCTGCTAAAGCATCATCATAACATTGTAATATCATACTCATATTCTTAAAAAAAGAAGACAAACTTATCAATTTTCAATATAAAAGTATTGTTTAAACATAGTCAAAATGTTGTTTCAAACAATTAAAACATAACAAAAATAATATTTCAACTAAAATATTTTGTATCAACTAAAAAGTTTTATATCAACAAATAAAAAATAGAAACAAAGTTTTGATTCTTTAAAGTACATTTTTTCATCCTTGTTTCTTTAAGGTAGATAATAAATCTTTCTTAAAATATTACATTTCTTCTTGCATTTGTTGTTGCATGAGTGTTTGCATTTGTGTTTGTGTCTTCATTTGTGCTTGCATATCAGTTTGTGCCTACAACTGTGTTTTTATCTGCTCTTGCAAATTAGATATCTGTATAGCTAAGGTAGTGATTTCTTCAGTGAGATTTGTGCACATTATTCATTGAATAATTAACATCATCCATGTTTATTTCTTCCATTGGGACATTTGCATCAAACAATTGTATCTCCTCATCATTAGGAAGAATATTATGCATTCCCATTGATCCATCATCTTGAAAATAATTAGTAACAATTTTCTCATTTGACAAATCATCTTCATTATTCAATATCTCAATCATAAATAATTTTGCTCTAACCTTGCAAGTTGCCCACCAATCACTATTATTTCTACCCCTATTTTGTGGGTATCTTGTATAATACACTTGTTGAACCTGTTGAGCTAATACAAATGGCTCATTTGATTGAAGCTTTGATTTATGCTTGATATCAACCAAGTCATATATGTCATCAACTTTAACACCATGAAAAGGATCAAACCAATGACAACTTAAAATAATTACTTTGTTTTGATATCCAAGATAAGACAATTCTAATATCTCTTCAACAATACCATAATAGTCCAAATCATTTTCATGATATATATTTCCTCTAACACATATCCCACTGTTCATGGTGGATTTATTTGCTCCATACTCCTTTGTATGAAATCTATATCAATTAATTATTACACCATTGTAAGAAGTTACAATCTTAACTGGACCATAACTTATCTCTCGAATTAACCGATCCTCAACTTGGTTTGTACTCACCTATAGAGAATTATAAAGAGAAAACACATAAGTACATCACTTACTACAATGAATTTCAAATTATACACTATAGATTGCTATGGAGAAAGACTCACTTGATTTTTTAACCACCTATTGAAAAATTGATCTCGAGACACCAATATTTCATCCTCAGAGATATTGGGATTTTCATTCTTCAGTGAATCTTCAAATTTCCTAATTAATACAACAATTAATATTGTAACAAATCGAATTGAATAAAAAATGTAATTATGAAGAAAACTTACTTTAGATATGGTGTCACTTCTTTACAATTTACAATGACATATGTCTCGACAATATGAAGCTCTTCTTTTGTTAATATTCTTTTATGATTTCTACCAATAGGACGACAAGGGTGTTTGAAAATAGACAACTTCTTAGAAATTCTATCTCCATCACCATCATCATTACGAGAAACTTGAGTACGTCTTGTTTGAATATAGGGATCAAAATATATAGAAGCAAAATTAGAAATTTCTTCCAAAATATATGTTTCACATATAGATCCTTCAACCTTTGCCTTATTGCGAACCTTTCTTTTCAAATACAACATGCATCTTTCAAATGGATACATCCATCTGTATTGCACAGACCCTCCAACCTTCACTTCATATGGTAAATGTATAACCAAATGTTCCATTGAATCAAAGAATGTTGGTGATTTTTTTTTTCAATCTTACAAATTGTTTTAATGATAAAACTCCTAGCATTGTCCATGACAGAAGGATGTACTATATTGGCGCAAATCTCTTTAAAAAAACAAACTAAGTTATGTTAATACACCCCATATAGGCTTTGGTAACATGTCACGAAATGCCAAAGGAATTAGTCTTTTCATAAAGACATGACAATCATGACTTTTCATCCCATATATTTTCCCTTCATCTGGAAACTTTAGTTGTTTTATCCATTCGCACACCATCTTTCATTACTCAGAATTCAAGACATATGTTGCCTTTGTTTTTTTTTACTTATCATTTTCCACCACCAGCTCTAATCTAGGACGTTTACATATCAATCTCAAATCTTGTCTTGCATTTGCAGTATCTTTCATCTTGCCCTTTATGTCCATCACGGTGTTAAAGATATTGTCAAACACATTTTTTTCAATATGCATAACATCCAAATTATGTCGAATTATGTTAGTAGACCAATAAGACAATTCCCAAAATATGCTCTTCTTAACCCAATTATGGGTTTTACCAAAGTCAGGTTGCTTTTGCTTGCCTGATTTTAAGTCAAAGATAATTTTATGAAGTTGAGTCACTATATTTAATACATCTATGCCACTCAATTCTTGTGATGGTAAAGAGTTCTCAACTACCAACTTCTTAAAGAGCATCGATCATGACGAAATGGATTATTGATAGGCAAAAATCGACGATGACAATCAAACCAACAAGGTTTACCACCATTCTTCAATCTAAATAATTTAATATCCCTCATACAATGTGGACAAGCTAATCTCCCATGAGTACTCCATCCAAACAACATTCCATAAGCTGAAAAATCACTTATTGTCCACATTAAAGCTGCTTTCATTATGAAATTCTGCCTTTTCAGTGCATCAAAAGTGTTAACCCCAATATTCCATAAGATTTTCAACTCATCGATTAGAAGTTCCAAATACATATCTAAACTTTTACCAGGTGACTTGGGTCCAAGAATCACAAGAGTAAGAAATATGAATTCCCTTTTCATACACATACTTGGAGGAAGATTGTAAGGTGTGACAAAAACAGGCCAACATGAATATAGGTTACCTTAATTACTGAATGGATTAAAACCATCTGTGCGAAGTCTAAGTCTAATATTTCTTGGATCTTGAGCAAATGCAGGATGTGTTTCATTGAATATTTTCCAAGCTTGTGCATCAGCTAGATGTGTCATCATTGATTC